TGGGACTGTCCACTTGTGATCAGATCAGCCTTCTGCTGAGAGTGAGCTGCACTCTGGGCTTTGCTCAGTGAGTTTTAAAAACACACAATCATTGACTGAAGCATCTGACAGCTCACTCTATCCATCTTGGTCTCCAGCGATCCAGTCCGTTTGTCTGTATCTCAATTATTTATATTCCTTTAGTCTGGAAGGGTCATTAAAAAAAATCAAATGGGGTTTTCATAAAAGTGTTCCAAATTTTGCAACTTGGCAATGCTCACACTCTTGGGCCCACTGATTTATGTCCAAATACATTCCAGACATTGCACCAATTGAGTGGGCCACTCAGTGTCCCGATGACCATGTTCCTGGTGTAGAGACTCAGAGTCGTAGATGCCCTCAAGTCCAGACGTGGGGCTTGCTGAAGGGGCACTGGGACCAAAGTACCAGGCAGAGCATGTTCAGCCAAGCTTGAACTTGACATATATTGCTGGGAAAGTATCTGCATTCTTATTGCTCTGACCTTATCGATACTTAAGCAGCAAGCTGGGCAGCACATCGGTGCTCTATGGCTCCCAGTTGAGTTGAATAGCCCACTTGAGTGCAAGAATTTCCAACTTCATGGAAATATAGTTGGCCATGTTGTGCTCAGTGGACATAAGCTATAGGCCTAACACCACGCTTTGTCTCCAGTGGCTAGTGGCTAGTGGCTAGTGTTGATCTCCAATATGAGGTGGCGTGCAAAGTCTTTGTAGGCCAGCCTCGAAGCTCTGTCCACTCTGAAACGTCCTTGCAAAACCCAGTACCTGTTCTGACCCTCTCTCCAGCTCTTTTCGCGCCAGCCCTGGATGACCTCCAGTCATTGTAAAAAAGCAGTGATTGATACTGGTGATCTGCTGATCTCCAAACATCCTCTGCATCAAACACTGAAATGTTCTTGGGGCACTGCACAAATCAAAAAACTATAAAAATTCAACAACCCATTTGGTCATGAGTATTGGACAAATGGTGCTAGTAAACTGTGATTATAACTCTTCCTGTGAAGAATATGGTTGTCTGTACCAAATTATCCACCCAATCCATTCAATAATTGTTGAGACATTCCACACAAAACTACAAATGTCAGCATGCTGGTGGCACTGGAGGAAAAACCATGTCCATACAAAATTTCATGGCAACAGTATTTCATGAGATCCAGTATTTCAGTCTGGACCAAAGACATTTCCATCCCAAGAGCCACATAAGAGTGCAGACGTAAGCCTTGTTTAGTCTGTATTCTACAGTGTTGGAAGAAACTACAACTCTACTACAGCTCTGTCATTTATAGTAAAATGGTTACACTAGCAGTCGTTGCACTGGGGAGTTCCTCCTGAAGGACTTGCCTCTGGGAATCACTGCTGTGGTGTCTGGCAGACAATACTGACGTCACTATGTAGTCTCTCATTTCAGAGTTCTTCGCCATAGTTCAGCAAGCTCCATCATTTAGATGATGAGGTGCTTATGTTCTAATTAAGGCCTTTAATGAAGGGGAACCGGTGTGAGGGTGGATTGCACGTTCTTCATCTAACTGCCTGAGAGGTTTAAATGTCAGTCATGAAAACCAGCATACTCCACGGCTCAGTTCCTCTGAGGCTGCAGAGACCTACAGGGCACTTTGGACCATCAGCTGATTAAAATACTGTCGCTACTTGTCGTCATTATAACAGAGCGTCAGCTGAAACTCAGGCTCAGAAATGCAAGTAAATAAATGTTATTCAGAACAATGTCAAAATCTTTGAAAACACACTAATTTCATAAACTGAAAAGTACCAACAAAGGACTGACTTCATCACTTCTGGACCATCCAGAATATGAAACAAGGTTATTATCCTTAACTAAAACTAATGAAATAAAAAAAAGTAGATGTGAACAAACATTTTCATCAACTGAAATATAATAAAAACGAGGCTTTATAAAAAAAAAAAAAAAAAAGAGAGAAAATGTATTTAGTTTTTGTATTTTGGGTGGATATGAAATCTATCTAGCTGTGTCAGATGGAGCAGTATCTTAAAGCTGATTGGCTCTCTTTTGTTAATAAATTGCAATAATGAGCCACAGCAGCAGCTCCTATGACTAGTGCTGGACAGTCCAGTTCACTGATGAGTTCATTTTGAGTAGTTTCATATAAATTAATCTAATCTCTAGGGGGTTTGGTATTTAAGTTCTTTCATGTTTTTTTCTCAGATTGACTCGACCTGCATCTCACCTCAGAAACATAATTACACACATTTTGCATTTAAGGCTGAATCTTGTGTCGACTGTTTTGCATATTTGTGCCCATATCTACATGTTAAGTACTGTTGTTGTTTCTGGTTAATGACACAAACGTACTTAATCATTGTCTTTTGTGGTTGTTCATCTGCCCTCAGTGAAGACATTTTAAAAACATTTTATTATGCAATACTGTTTCTGACCTTTTTGAATCTCGCCCCTGACAAATCTCCCATATTACAAAATAAAACTAACAGTAACACTGAAACTAATAAAAAATAGAATAAAAAATAAACTAAACTAGTAAATCTGCCTTAAAAAAACTATTATAACCTTTTGTTTTGTAAAGTTTGCTTCATCTGACCAGTTACAGCAGTGTATGTGCACTTTTGCCTTCAATACTTAACCTCTTGCTCTTCTGGGTTTTTACTATACAGATCATTTTAATACAGGACTTTTGCTTTTTACAGTGTGGTATTGATGCTTTAACTTAAGTAATAAATCTAAATATGTCCTTCTCCACTGCTCATTTTACTTAAATACAAAGATGCCATTCTCAGCTGCATCTGTCTGACAGCATCACATCTGTCTCTGTGAGACAGAACCAGCAGAGCTCAGACTCTTTCCATAAAAATCATTTGGAACATTCACGGCTGCCCTGAGGCCTGAGTCAATTTCATATGATAGCTCTCCAGTTGAGAAGCTGCTGAAATGTCAATTAGCCGTCATCCACCTCCACACAGTGCTCTCAGCTTCACAGGGTCCAGGGCTAATCGCTCATTATTTGCCGCTGGTACCTGTCTGGATGATGGCAGGGCAGTTGGGGTTGGGAGGGTTTGGGGAACATGTGTGTGTATATACACAGACACACAGACACAGACACCGACACCGACACCGACACACACCGACACACACACACACACACACACACACACACACACAGCACGACAACTCACACCAAATTAGTCTTAATTTTCACCACCTCCACCTCCATGTGTGTGTATCTCATTTCTGAGGGAAGAGACAGAGGAACATGACAGCAACTGTTGATGTTCACAGTCAGTAGCAAAAACAGCAGAGAAAGACTTTAATTTCACTGTTTCTGCAGAGATCCTGTAGGTCAGGGGTGTGTTCAGGGACCGCTGCCCTCACCCCAACAAATAAGAAAAAATAAGACAAAACAAATAAAAGATGTCAATCCAGATTCACACTGGATCCTTACAGTGTGATATTCTGTAGTTTAATCAGTTATTGTCTCATCTGGAGAACAATGAGCAACTCACTTGTCTTTTCTCAGATTTACTTCAGTTTCTATTACCAAAGTCCAGTATCCCACAATTCCTCAGTGCACATAGTGTGTCTGTCTTTAGCAGTGTGTAATGTAATGTTGTAGAAATTGGTTAGTCACTTGTCTCAACACCATGTCTGTTTTTTTTTCACTTAGAGGAACGTTCAGTTCAAAACCTCAAGAAAACTTCAGATCACTGTGGATGGAAATAAAACCATCGAACCATATGCTTGAAATGAGACAGATTATTATGATTTTAGCAAAAGGTTTATTCAGTTATGCAGTCTTGTCACCATCTATACAAAAGTGGTCAAACTTGAATCGAAGTGTGCATGTATACAGGAGAAATATGGATGTAGTTGAGGAGATTTTCCCATCGTGTATGACAGGAGAAAATATTCAGTGTGATGCTGATGAAAATCTTCAACAGCAGATAGGCTGACAATATATGTGCAAATTACTGTATATAGGGAAAAGATTGCTCTTTGTTGTTATTGATTGTGATGTATTTTGAGTAATTGATTGTATTGTATTTTTCTGAACTACAGTATATTGCACTGAAAACAAACGCAGTGAATCTCACCAAAATAATACTGCTAATTTATCATATATAGTTTTTTAAGACAGTAAACATCATTATTCTTGGTTTCATACAGTAAAACATTAATTTACCGTTTACTGTAGATTTACCACATCAAAGGAACAGGTCAAAAGTTTCTTCAGGTGCTTGGCCTGAAATATCTGGATACACACATAAAGGCAAACACAGTATATGTGTTTTAAAAATGATTTTAGTTCGTTGAGAGACAGGGGAGTCTTATGGAGAGAGTGTATGTTATAGTTACGGGAGCGACACTTTTGTGTTAAATATAAAGTGCTTTGTTGGTTGAAGCATTTTGCACCAAAGGTTAACTGATGTGCTCAGGTGAGTGTTTTGAAGAGCACAAAGTGTGAAGCGTTTAGAGTTTTTATTGAGCTATAACCACAGTCTCAATCAGGGGCATCAAACCCACCCAATCCCCTTGTAACTCCAACCCTGGTTCTAGGTAAAAACAGTACAACAATGTGTTGACATGAAAAAAAAAAACTTTTAAATACTTAGGTATTTTAAAAGAAAGGACTTTAAAATTGACTCCAGCAACAGAGTTCACCTTCTGGCTCACAGATGCCAGTAACTTGAGAAAAAAAAAAGTCCTGTTAGTAAACCAGGTAAACCCATAGAAGATGTTCAGTTTCAGTTTGACTTTGTGGTGTTTGGACCGAGCCGCAGCAGCCGGACACCTCAGAGTCCTCAATCATGTGGTCCGACAGGTTCAGAGGAGTTTGAACCTGTGGACACGTTCAGTCCCGGTTTTCAAAACTCAGGTTAGTCTATACTCCCACGTGGATGAACATTAGTCACGCTCCGTTAATTTTCTCAGACCTCGTGACGGAATGCTCATGTATAAAGGCAGCACCTGCTCGCAGATGGAGAGCCAGAGGAGCGCGAGGCACAGGAGCAGAGGACTGATAGCGCGCGCCAGCTCGTCTGTACTGCCAAAAACTGCAAAAAGAAAATGAACCCAAATGTCTCCGTTTGCTGTTTGTCTCTACTGTTACTGCTTAATTTCGTTGGAGCCAAACCTATTTCTGATCTACAGGCAAGTTCACCTTCATCTGGTCCTTCACCTGGTGCCAAAATGACTGTTGGCTGTATTCAACATTTCAGAGACACTACAATGACTTGAAGATATCAGATGATAAATTTGTGGTTTGTGTAACAATAAAGTCAGTGTATTGAATAATGATGTTGCTAGCTAGTTAGTGTGTTAGAGGTGATACACACTTGGTGCATCACTGTGGCCTGCATCGTTGTGTGTTTCCTGTGCGCGAGCAGTAGCGTTAGTGAAGCTCGGTGTGTTGAGCAGGTGTCAGTTAAACTTCCTGTGTCCATTTCTCCCGCAGAGTTTGAAGCAGCTCCTAGAGGAGGAGGTCAACGCTGCGCCATATTACTCCTCGGAGGAAGCGGAGGTGGAGGGGAGAGATGGAGACACGGACAAGTCGGTGTTCGGTGTTCAGTCGTGGGACTCGTCCGACCCCAGCAACTCGGCACTGGCGGTTAAAGAAAACGTCCTCGCGCGTCTCTTCAAAGACCTCATGAGGACCTCGAAGCGCTCGTGGAGTCGGTACAAGAAGGGCGGGCTGAGGAGCTGCTTCGGTGTCCGCTTGGAGAGAATCGGCTCGTTCAGCGGGCTGGGCTGCTGAAGGTAGGAACCAGGGAGAGATGTGATTTAGTATGTATATGTGTGTCTGTGTATATATATATATGTGTGTGTGTGTGTGTGTGTGTGTGTGTATCCTCCTGAGATATATGAAATATAAGTTCATAACATATGATTTTTGTATGCATATATTTTGGAAATATCCATATAATGAATTTAAGTTAATTAAAACAGCACACATTCAAATTCTATATGTTTATGTTTTTCTTATTAATTTTAAACGTACAAGTCTATCTTTTATATTTACAAAGATAATATTGATATATATTGACAAGCTTTGGGATGGATACATATCTATGTAACAGATGTCTACAAAAAAGCATGTACACAAACATTCATTTATATGGGCTCAACATACTGTATGTTAATGTATAAAATTGTTCAAATTTCTAATAGGCTTCATCTATAATTTTTTACATATATGTACATGTCAATGTTTTTACTTCAGAGGTGTACATAAATTACATTTTTGTATGGGAAAATACATAAATGCAGAAAAATTATCACAGTTATTGTACATTCATAGCCTTGTATGATTTGTTAATATAATACACAACTAGAAAAACATATTCATTTGAATGTTTAATTTGTAGTGAAAATCATCTTTTACAAATTCACAGATTAAATATAAGGTAGCTCAGCAGAAAAAAACAAATAGTCTGTTATGATTTAGCATGAACATAAAGGCACATCAGCACATGAAGCAAATGCTTTTTTAAGAATCTGTCAAAATCGTCCATGAATTCTTTTCTGTGATGATTCATTTTAGTTAATTATACTTAAATGAAAATGTATTGGAAACTTTTTGTATTTATTTATACAGAGACAAGTTCAGTTCAGGTAGCTGCTCCATCACACTGACAGAAACCACTGAGCATCTGAGCAGCTGCAGGTTCAGTGGCTCGTTGCTTCAGGCGTCGGTGCAGCAGCAGTTGTGTATAATTCAGACATCAAACTGTAATAAACAGTGATAATATGGTGTAGTAATGTGTGTTTTGTTCTGTTGACAGGCATGGATCTTCACTGAGACCAGAACCAGCATCGGAGCTCGTCTCACACTCGCACAGCTTTGACTGACAGTTTAAAGGCCGGCTACTCAGTCTCCTCTGTCCATGGTTCTCATTCAGAACTGTGATTTCTTTTTCATATGTGAGCTGTTAAATAATAAATTATTGTAAATGTATTTATTATTTATTATTTTATTGTTGGATAATGTAGACTTGCCTTGTAATAGATTGTATTCTAGTAAAATAATTATTTTGCATAATATCTGAGTCTGTGCTTTTGTTTCTTGGGCACAGCTGAAAGTAGCTTCTTCACAGGGAACACTGTCATGATAAATGCACATGAAATAAACCAGTGTATTAGATGAGGAACCATTTAATTGTGGTTTGAGACAATTGTGATATTTTAATTAAAGGAATAGTTTCAAATGTTTCATAAGAAACAAACAAAAAAAAACAAACACAGTAACGTGACTGATCTCCATGCTGCAGCGGCTCCGACACCAAACACACCAGGAGGGCAGATCAGAGATATCATTACTTTCAGCTGCTGGAACATCATGAAAAATCTGGTTTGGTCCGTCCCCAGCAGGTTTTGGCTCTAACATGGATTTATGTTCCTATAGAAGTCACTATGAAAAAGATCCATATTCTGCGCATAATGTGTGTGTAAAGCTTGTTGCAGGCTCCACACCTCCCATAAAGCCACAGTATCACTCCAGCTGTGTCAAACCACAAATGATGTTGAAAATCAAAGGATTTCCCTGTTTTAAAGCATAAGGAGAAATAAGTTTCTGAAATAACTTCATTCTGATGCAGCTTTCGAGTAGATTCACTAAAATTCACAAAATTGATTTATATATTTCAGTTTTGTGCTTCTTAGTACATAAAGAGATTGTAGTTCAGCTGTAGTTACTGTTCTTAAAAGTCTGAGAAATAAACGAATTATAAATAACTATAGCACTGTACAACATGAATACAAATATGTTTTCAATATAAAAAGATAAGAAATTATTTGTAAAGTTCCAATAATAACTTTATCTAACAAGTTGTAGTTATCTGTCACATTAAGGATGCATTAAAAAATATCCATGATTATGATTTATTGTGGAGAATCCAATGTGATTTTAGGTTCCAAAATCTTCAATCTGAATGATTGCCTTGTTTCCCCAATAACATCACAAATAAATTAACACTCAACAGAAATTAATGAGAGATTTCAGAATATTATCGTCAATGATAGTTGATGTTGCCATCAGTCCGCTAACATAGCGGAGCATGAATGCACAGCACCAGACCCAGAATGCAGTTCGCTCATTCTCATAGCCCAGAGGCATGATGGGAGTAACACTACTGCACATATTCAGTGGGCTGCATAAACCTGGAAGCCAGAAACTTTTTTGGTGTATGTGCCAGGCTAGCTATTCTAATAGGACTGGATAGGTGCCATTTTTACATCCGACATCATGGTCTAATAATCCAACATCCTTGGGATTACCAAGGTGATTTCAATTCATACAGAGGGGAGCATGAATGTTTGTACAAAACTTCATGACATGCATCCAGTAGTTGTCTGACTGATATTGGTATCTCTAGCTCCATTAGTGGCTAAAAGTGATGCTCACAAAACACAGAAAAACACAATATCACAGAACTTCGTCACTGGCAGACTACAGTTTTAGAGAGACTTGACAGGATAATGAAAGGCAAGGGCACATGTCTTAGACCTTTATTTAGTTAAGAAGAGCAGCTACATGTGCTTTGGCATTACAAAAACAGGCAGATTACTGGTCTGTGAGAAATTTATCTTCTGGAAACTGGTCCAAGTTACAAAAAAGGTTGGGGGCCGCTGAGATAGGGCATTTTTTGATACTTTCGTCAATTTCTCAGTTCTCAGTTTGGATCTTTATGTAAAAATCATATACGAATTTATGTTGTTGATCTATGAGTTTATACAGTTTGGTGTAGATCCAAATAATAATCTGGATCCATATTATAATTTGGATCTGATTGAAATGAGTAGGATTGTTTGGCCTTGGCGGAGGTATGCAGCCTACTGAGTGCCAGTCAGACGGCAGTGTTCATATAATGTGATGTTTCAAAGTCTTTTCTCTTGCTCTCTGCTACAGAGAGGTCAGAGGTCATAGCCCGCCGTAGAGACAAGAGTTGTGTCTTTTTTGAGGACCCTTCAGCAGAGTGGCAGTCTGAATTAGGTTCCTCCTTTCAAACCAGCAGGCTACCCTACCACAATCACGTACACCCCTCAATATAGCAACACTGTCACACTGTCTGTTAGTTTACTACTTCCCGTAGCTCAGTGACAACAATGTCCCGTGTGGAGGGGGGTTGGAGTATGTTTCTGAAACTAAGTAGCATATGGAAGAGGCTATGTCATACGAATGCCCCATATCTGAGACACAACACTTTAAAAGGAGCAGTTTCCGACAGCTCCTGTTATCAGAATCAGGTGTCAGGAATGCCAGTACAATTCCTGGCATACCTACGTGTATCAGGCTAAAGTATAAAAGAGCAGAGGGTGCTGCTGTGTGCTCCAGCATCCAAACAGCTACAAGGCAAAAAAGCGAAAGAGCATCCATCCACCCACTGATAGGATCAACAGGAACCCACAGAGAAACATGCATCTGTCTCCCACTCCTCTCTGCGGTTTCCTCCTCATCTTAAACCTGCAGCTGATCAGCACGTATCCCATCAGCACCGGCTTGACTGACACTGACATGGACATCTTAAAGGTGAGTCTCATGTGAAAGTTGGAGTTCTGGGGCTCCGCTATATGTCAGACAGAGGAAAGACACTATGAAGATGCCGATTGTCACTCAACAGCAACTTCCTATGTGTGATATTATATGATCTGATATCTGCTTACTGAAGTTAAATTACTGTTCTAAGAAAATAATATGTGTAATGAGAAGTTGATAAACAATTAATGCTACAGCTGCAATGTCAGCAAAATGAACTACCTGACCGTATTGGACCTACACTCTTATAAGAGTGACCCAGCTAATGTGTATGTGGATGTTGCAGGTGCTGCTTCACAGACTGGAGGAGTCAGTGTCAGAGCAGACTGAGGTGGACCAGAGAGTCCCTGCAGAGCAGGACAGTCTGGATAGTCTGAATGTAGAGGAGCAGCCACAAACTGGACTGGATGAGGCCTCAATCAGGGAATTTCTCTCAGCCAAGAACCTGAAGAGCGTCCGCAACGACTCGTCAAAGAGGTCATCTGGCTGCTTTGGTCGGCGGATGGACAGGATAGGCTCCATGAGCTCTCTGGGCTGCAACACTGTGGGCAGATACAGTAAGTTACAGTAACTCCACTTCAATCTGTAGGTTGAACTGATGTAACTTTTGTGAGCCATTGAGATAATGAAAAATTATTTTAACGGTCACCAAGAAAAAAGATTAATAGTGAGAAAAATGTTTTTAGTAATATAGAAAATCCACGGAGACCACCAACATAGCTCCATGTGTTTTCCCTTAATGCTGTCTTTAAATGTCTTGATTCTGAATGTACTATATATAGATAGCTCACACATTTGTACCATTATTTTAAGTGAATGAGAAAATATGAATATCAATAACAGAGCTGTTGTTATTTTCTCTTGCAGATCCAAAGTAAAGATGAAGTCTTACCATCTAAACTCTGCAACGTCTCTATCAAAAGATATTTTTATTTATTTACTAATATTTATTGAATATTGTTTGTGGCTGACAAGTATATTTATTTAAAATGGATGTAAAATTGTTCTGTTTTAATAAATGTTTACAACTGCACATCATTGAGCCCATGTTTAAGCATCACCACACACACACACACACACACACACACACACACACACACACACACAGACACACACACACATTGCATTCCCTAACTTTAAACTATCATTATAATCCTGGTGTCTTAGTCATTAGGGAACTACTTATTAACAACTTATCATCTGTCAGGTCATTCCCGAATCGTTTCTGTCTTGTTCCTTACTAAGAACACAGCCTGATAAGTGTGTAACAGTGGGACATAAAGATATAGTGTCCTGGCAGCTTCAGTAGCCTGATGTTAGTGACATATGGAAGTCGACTTAGTATCACTACCTACAACCTCCACTGGATTCTGGACAACATCGAGGCCACAAGGGATCGGTGAAGGAGCAACCAGATGTGACTTGATGCGGTTTGACTTTAGTTAATGGCTCTGTTTTCTTCTAATGGGAAACAAATGACCCTGTAAGTGAAACTATGTTAAAAAAAGGTTAAACAAATGTCTTGCTCTCTGAGCTGTTCGTGTCTCTTTGTGTCACTTATAGACTGTAAATAAAGTTGGATGTTGCGTCCATGACATCACACAGGTTTGTCAAGAGTGGTTTTGAAGCTCAGAGTGGGCTGCTCCGCTGTCGCCATCTTGGCAGGGTCTGATGCTTGGCTAATCTAAACATGGGCAAAGAGGTGGTGCGTGTGTGGAGCCAAGACTTCGGGGCATGCCAGTTTGTGACAAGCGTACAATCACCTACCTGTCATTCAAAGTAACCATTCCCTTAATTATGCATAACTTTACGCCTTAATAGAATTTAAACAGGTGAGTTATGTAAAAATGAACCCCGTACAGTTGTCATAAAGGAGCAAATTAGCTATAGATACCAAAACTGTTACATGTACCAGGTTGAAAACATTTCTGCTGTAAAGTTGGACATTGGGAGTCTATGGTGATTGACTCATTTTTGGAACCAGCCTCAAGTGGTCATTTGAGGAACTGCAGTTTTTGGCACATTCTTTTCTTAATTTTTCAGCCCAGTAGGTTGTTGCTTTCACTATTACAAAGACTGATGTGCCTGATACTTTGTTTTGTCTTAGTGAACTGTAAAGTAAACCTCCTCTGTTGGAGTCCTCTTTCCTCCTCCTACCATTACTATTATTTGATTTGGACAGATTCACACAAATATGATACTCATTAAACATTACATTCACAAGTTCTTGCTGAGAAGCTGTTTTTCTTTCTTTTGGTTTGTTGCTGGTGGTTACATCAGTAACCTGAGCTCCAAGCTCTTAAGCTGAGGTTCAGCTGCTGCTGTCTTTACCTACAGTTTAAAACACCTGCACCACAGGTGTCCAATTAGACAGCTGCTAAAAGTGAACCCACATCTTCCAACCAATCAAAATCCAGAATCTTCAGTTGTATGGAAAACATTATAGGTGTTGTATGTATAAATTAACTGATATTTTAAGTTTGATTACATGTGGCATTTTGTTGATATGAATAGTACATGGTTTTCTGTCCTGTCTGGTTCAGGCCGCTGTAACAGGTGAGTGAGCGTATGCTTGCCACAAACTGGTATGCACCGAAGTTTCGGCTCCACACCGCCCCACCTCTTTGTCCATTTTTGGATTGGCAGGAAGTTAGGCAGAGTCAGGTTCTGCCAAGATGGAGATGGTGGAGCAGTCCACTCCTCATAAACCGTTGTAAACCGGGTGATGTCATGCAGGCTATATCTTTATTTACAGTCTATGATTTTGCACCTGCAAGTAAACAAGCTGGTATAATTGAGTCTTTATGCTAAGTTAAGCGAAACGCTTCCTGGTTCTAGCTTCATGACAGTGCTATCAATCTTATCTTCTCACTCTCAGTAAGAAGGCAGATGAACATAAGTATTGCTTTGATATTTGGTCTATTATTGTTCTTTATTACTGGGTTGACTGAAAACAGCCCAATAATCTTTGGAGCTAACAGCTAAATTCTCCTTAACAAACTGAAACATGACTCAAAACCAACACAAGAATCAGCTTCAGCTAACATCATAAATATTACACCTGTCATTGTTTCCTTCCTCTGTTAATCTAAATCATGTGGTCACCTTGTAACCCAGGAGCAGTTTTAACCTACTATGGTATTTTTCAGGAGTGTAGACAGTGTGAAGTATTTGCATGGTGGATCTGCATTCCTGTCAATAAACACCACGTCTGAGCTCAGAGCTCCAAGATGGCTCCTGAGGTCATGCCACTGAACACAGTCACACACACACACATCACCTACCACCAAGCACCACTTAATCTGACATCTGACCAGCTACCTTATCATCCAGAGGTGTCAGAATGCACTTGAGGTGGTCTACAAAATGATGAGCCACTGACACTGACTGTCTGTGGCATGGTGTGTCTGTGTGTGTGTGTGCGTTGGCATATATATAAAATCTTGCAGTGCAGGCTGTAGTATCAGAGGTAGCAGCAGCAGGATATCATGAGGACTGCGGTCCTGTGGGGCCTAGTGGCCCTACTGTGTCAGCACACACTGGTCAGCAGCCACATACTGGGACGGGCCTCTTCTACCAGTGACCTTGCTCAGCTCAAGGTAAGAAACCATGTGACCCTTTCACTCCTCACATCTGTTTGTTTGATCACTGCACTTTGAAAGGTGATTTCCAATTAAAGTTGTGGAGTGAGTTATCACTGTGTTCTGAGGTCAAAGGTGAGACAAAATTGTTGGGGCTGTTTATCCACAGAGTGTCCATCAGTTACAAACTCAATTTTGCATCTTGTTAGAAAAAAACACATGTTCTTATTCAACTTTGTTTCCAGTTCTCCAAATAGTTTTGGTTTTATTTGTGTCTCTACAAATAATTGGGTATGGAGATCCGCAGCTGGTGGAGCTGATCCTGTGGTCAATGTGTCCATTGCAGAAAAAGATGCAATGAGATGATGTAATTAACTGAGCTCCAATCAAAGCTCAAACAAAGTTGGAAACTCACTGGAAATCTGACATATCTGTTTGTGATTTGTATTCAAGGAAATTTCCAGTCTCTTCCTCTCTCACCACAGATCAGGGCCCATTTTCACAAAACATCTGAGGGCTGAAAAGTGGCTCCTAACTTGTAGCAGAAACTCCTACAAAAATTATGAGTGTCAGTCCAAACTATAGGACTCCTAATTTTTTTTTTTGGAGTAAGACACTTTTTGCTAAAAGCTGACCCTAAGTCTGTGAGAAGGTAGTGGAGAGGACTCTGAATTCACAAAGACCAATTCACAAAGAATTGTAAAATGACTGCTGTTGACACTGAATTACTGAAAAGAAACCGCCTGAATCATGAGTGAATGATGAACGTTATTAACTTATGAAGGAGGCAACAACATCTCCAACCAACCAAAACAACCCAATCAGTGCGGAGAGTGTTTGGCAGCACTGTAATGTAGCAACATGGAAAGTACAACTTGAGGATCTCCTAGTGTCCTTTAACTGATCTATTCACAAAACAATGAAATGAAATGAAATTCTGCACAAATGTCATCATTCAGATGCATTTTGGAAAATACACTACTTTTGAAAACGGCACCTAATCCATTATTATTTAATTTGTGTGTCATAATTAGGCCTATATATATATATTTTTTTTTTTTATGTATTACTTTAGGATGTTGTTCATGTGTTTCAACCAATCACTGTGATTTCTGCAAGAAAGTTCATCCATGAGACGTGACGTCAGCCATTCGTAGTTCTCTCTTTTCCTCAGTAAGAGTTTGTGAAGAGGAGAATACTTTTAGTTAGAAACTTTTAGTGTGACTCTTAGTGGTGTGATAAAAGGCTTTATGATCACAGGCCTGGATGCAGAAAAGCATTCAAATGTGTCATGTAAGTGTAGTCAGGGATTTGATGATCCATTCATTATGTTTTTGCCTCTTTATTTTTGAGAGAACATAAACTTGAACTAAAGAACCACGTCAGAAAACCACCTGCAAGAGTAACATTCACCTTAGTCAACACCATTTCCCACAAGCCTAAGACCAGGTTCTGGGATACATGTAGTGACAGATTCACTAGAGGGCTCATGTTTTCCATCAGCCCGTGTTTCCTGTGTCTAAAACATATGAGCAGAATGTTTGGTTCTGAAGGTAAACCCATCTCCACCTCTCCACTGCAGTCTCTACTGGAGCGCTTTGAGGAGACTCTGGCTGCGGCCGCCCAGGAGGAGGACTCTGAAGCGGATTATGAAGGTACAAACCAGGAGCCTGAGCGCAGCCAGACCAGCCGAGGATGGAGCATTAACCAGGAGGGGGACCAAGAACCTCTGATATCAGACAGATCTCAACCGCCGGCGGAGGGCCACAGCAGGGCCACGAGTCAGAGGAGCCGTCTGCAGGACCTGCTGATGGCCACCAGGAAACGAGCCTCCAGCTGCTTTGGAGCCAGAATGGATCGAATAGGAAACGCCAGCGGTCTGGGATGCAACAATGGAAGAGGTAAGACTGCAGCTGACGATGGAGGAGGCAAATCAAATCAGGGTTTAGTTAAAGGATCCTGAAGCATGAGGGTCAGGAGTCCGTGCTGGTTGTTGTGGGATATCAAGAACAGTAGAGACTAATATGAAATAAATAAACATCCTCCAGTGTTCATGATGACCAGCTATTTATAACAAATGCTCTTCTTGTTTGTGTTTGTGTCGTTTTCCCATCAGGCTAGTCTGACAGCTTCCTGGGACACATGTTGGATTATAGTTTCATATCCAACTGAAGATGCAACCGATGAGACTGGATATGTATGACTTTGCATAAGTGACAGTTCAGCTGTGTGTATCTCTTGTGTGTTTTTCTGTAACATTAACACCCTAAGGAAATGAGTTAACTACATAACTGCAGGTGGGTTGTTAACAGAGATAAATAAAGCCTTTTTTCATATGAAGAATTCAGTCGTTTTTGTTTTTTTTCAGTCCTGCTCCATTAGCTACAGCAGATATTCACATTTGTCTGAGAAGGAATCCTCTCTTCATCTCTGTACACCAGCAGTCTGAAATCATGACATGAGAAAACCTGTGCCTTTTTCTAAATCCAAATCAGTCTGTGATCGGACATATCTGCTTTAATAACTGTTCCTGTTGTTGTTGCCTGATTTCATGCAGCCATCTGTATCTGACGTGATATGTTGATAAGATAAGAAGCTGAGTTATGTATTCCCAATCAGTTGAAGATCATTCCAGAGCCCCCACCAGCTGCACTATGTTTGATTTTTCTTCTTTTAGCGATGACAGCATCATGTTGTAGTAAACCATCATATAGATACTTCCGGGTCATTTCACTTAGTTTGGAAACTTCCTAAGCAAAAACTACTTTTCAACCGCAGCCCAGACGTTGCATTTACACTCACTGAGCACTCTCATGTTGATGTGTTATCATGTTGTAACAAAAACTTTTGTTTTGTGACATGGAGCATTGTCCTACTGGAAAGCATACAAATGATTAATACAAATGAATAAAAAATGTCATGAGTTGTTGAGATATTTCAGTCTAAATTAAAGTGGTGGGCCAACCATGTAACTCGTTTGTTAATGTCACTAAATAAATTCAAGTAAAATGAATAAAAAATTGAGTAACAAAAAAGTACTGAAAATAATGTTATAAGGCTTCTAATGAAGCCTCAATGCAAAATACATATTCTTCATTATTTACAATGTGAAGCTGTGATAACCTTTCTGTTCATCTTTTATTTTTCAAATATGAACTAATTTCATCCTTTAAATTCCATCTCCCATTCAAAGCATGCTGGGATCTCCCTGCAACCCTGAGCAGGATAACCAGGTATAGGATATGGACAGAGGGTAACTAATTTCATCTGTTGCTTCCAACTTGTTGTCAAATAAATATAGACTGTTGAGACAGGAGGTGAGTCATGCAGGAAATATGTCTGATTCATCCATTAATTGCTGTTGTCTACATGCATTTGACACGAAGCAAAAAGGAGACGTCACTGTGGGTTATGATAAAGTAACTGTCACACTGTCCTGTCCAGTCAGATTATGGAGCTCTTGGACATCAATTAAACTCTGGTAATACACCAGTGAAGCATTTCACCTGATGACAGCAGCCAACCTGACAGCTGCTGAGCTAGACCAACCTAAACTGACCTGAGTCCACTTCTTCACGCCATGTTTTATAATGTCTTTGGAAACTAGCAGGACAGAACAGGGTGCTGAGAGCGGCTTCTGAAGCCAGTCTGATCCCGGCGATAAGGACAGGTGCAGGTTTTTGTTTCCGCTGTGGACCAGACTGACCTGATTGCTGGCTGCGCACCTTATCAACGAGAGTGACATTTCCTGTCCAGACTAATTTGGAAAACTTGGAATGAGCTTTAGAGTCAAATCAAAGTAGATAAATGACCCAAACATGCGTCTCTAACTGTGCAGCTGTGAGGTTTACTCTCTCTGGAATGAGACCAAACCTGACAAAGATGTACTCGACAAAACTAAAGCTCTGAAACTCTACTGCCAGTTGTAATGATACACTGCACTATAAAACAGTGTCGGACGGAAATATTATATAATAATAATAATAACTTTATCAGTGAAAAATAAAACCAGATAAAAGATAAGGCCAAAGAGCCTGAGCATAGTTAAAACAGTAGAAAAGCGTTTATAAAAACATATCATATATCAAACATTTTGCAAAAGGATCTGACAATAACCAAAGAGAGGCAATAAAATATGTAAAAACAATAACCAGGGATAAAATAATATAAATAAAAGCAGCTTATTGTGATTAGAGAGGTCACCAAGATTTGCACAGAGAGAGGTGATAGAATTTGGGTGGCCAAACAGAATTACTTCAGAAAAACTACACAGGTGATGTAGCTGTTCTTAACACTAACACTGCTTCTGCTGTTTTCTACTCTACAACTCAACAACAAAAATACAGTGTGAACATGAGATAGATGCACCCTTTCCCATGATACATGCAGCAGTTAATAAAACTACAGAGCTATCAAACGGGTTCAGTCGAGCTTTAATTTCGCCAGGGGCAATTTGTCTTGGATCAGTGAGGTAAAAGTGTTGTGATATCTTCACCTCCCACTAATGGCTTTTGTGCTGAGCAGCAACAAATGAAATGTTTGTTTTTTTTATCAGCAAGCGCCCTCTGGTGGCTGTTTTCATATTCATTTTACTGAATTTTATTGTCATTATAGATTTCTATTTCTAATGCCCTCTTTTATGCACTTAACATTTATTTAAATATGCAAACATCGAGTTCGAAGAGATATAAACCGGTCCAGCACTCCTTCTGTAGTATTATGAAGTTTGTGCCATTCATGGAGACAATGCTTTCCAGCTCCTCCTGGAGGATCCCTTCGTTTTCTTTTACCTATAGAGCAGGACAGCCTACACCAAATAATCATTATCAGCATGTAGTAGACTACTAGTAATACATAGTCTGATCATAACTCACAGTATTGCTGACAAGTAGCAATAAATGAAATTGACTAAAACGTATTTTGAAATGTCTATTGTCTGAAAAGTCTACCTCAACATCGTAAAGTACTTGAAAAACAAAGCAGTTCCACCACTGTGTCAGCCTGGACTACTTCCGTTACCAGCATCTCTTGGGGAACAGGATAAAAAAGGACTCAACACTGTCATCTGACATCCCTTTTTTGGTAGTGAAATCCCACCATCCCTTTTTTTTTTTTTTTTTTTTTTTTTTTAACATAGCATTTAAGATTAATTTAGTTTTGGATAAAGCCCAAAATCGCAACGAACTGCCAGGGATATTTGTTTTAAACGAGCTACCGAAAGACACAATTCGGCACAAATCACGGAGCAGCTCAATTCATGTATGTAAACTTTTTACATTCTCCTGTTTACATCCACAACAAACCAGACTGCCCGCGAACTGTTCCAGCCGAGTTTACGTAATAACGTAACGTTTTCCCAGCGGAAGATGACAGCCAATGACAGACTGGTGCTTATTGCTATTATTCTACAGTGTTTGCTGGTGAATGTAGAGAAAGAACACGGGTCACCCACAGACGGCAGGACAATATCAGAGTGTATAATATATATAATATATATATATTTACATAAAGTCCTATGTGTCCTATTAAAGGACGATCTGCTCAGTCTGCACACCGACACAATCTGCTGATAGTAAGTTAAACTGAATCTCCGCCCCAAATCACAACCGAGCCGAGCTGTGTAAGGGAGAGCGCAACCCAGAGAGGAAGAGGAGGAGGAAGGAGGGAAAGACAACAGGAAAACCCTGGAAAGAAGAGTTTCTTGGGGAAACTGTGTTTAACCAAAGACATGTTTTTGGAGTAGGAGCGGGACAGCCGGTGGACTGCACTGTAGGACCTGGAGAGGAGGTATGTCTGAAACAGGGACGTGGAGATAACGTGTTGATCTTCTTCTGAACACTGGGTCGGGACATTTGCAGATGGAGACACAGCGATTGAATTGTTTGCAAAGGTTATGAATAAGCGTGGTGATGACCCCCAGACGGCAGGTAAGTAACACAATGAACTCGGGGAATTATTATTAGTCGGGAAACAACATGAAGGAGTGAGTTCACAGCCTGTCCACCGACTTCAGACTGAACCCCCAGCACACCGTTCACTGTCAGACTGTTTATTATCAAACAGACTGTTCACTATCAAACAGACTGATCACTATCAGACACATTGCTCTCTGTCAGCTGTTTATTATCAAAACAGACTGTTCACTATCAAACAGACTGATCACTATCAGACTGTTCACTATCAGACACATTGTTCTGTCAGACTGTTCACTTTCAGACTGTTCACAGTCAGACTGTTCACTATCAGACCGTTCACTATCAGACACACTGTTCACTGTCAGACACATTGTTCTGTCAGACTGTTCACTATCAGACACACATTCTTAATTAAAATGTGCTTTATTGACATGATCATTAAGTAAAGTGTTGACAAAAGAAAATGAAAAACAGTTCTTAATGTAAGGGAAAACATTACAACACCATATACTCTATACAACTACAATAGTTTTCTGTAATACTATAGGAAAACAATTTGTACTAAATAAGATGATTATGCATAGCAGCTGTGGTCCCTGTCCACCCCAGATAGTTGCAGCTGAGGATGAGAAGGCATTGATGACAGCAGCATGACAGTCTGCATGACCTGCTGGAATAGACCAATCTAAGTTTATGAATGCATGTGACCTCTCAGAAGAGCAGGTTAATGTTTAGGTGTGGCCATAGTCAGGGTGAGTTGGTCTATGGTCCACAGTATCAGAACAGCCTGTTGCTGTGATAACAGTCAGACTTCACTTAAGAGTTTGTAATTCAGTTTTTAGGGCCACTCTTGTTTACTGTTTAACCATTTTTCAATCACTACGGACACATGATACTTTAACTCCTAAATCCTAAAACTGCAGTCCATAATCCACAATATATATTTATCGAGGGTTTTATGAGATTAGTCTGTCTGAGTAGTGTGGTTAAAGTTGTGAATTGTGTCCAAAGTTTGGTGCAAAAGTGAAAACAAACTTTCAGTATATTGTCTAGAGTCTCATGATATCTGTTATTAGATCATGAGACCGATGAGATCTGATGTCCTACATATAATATGTATTTATTCCCGCTACCTCATCATTGTAATTCGCTACCTCATCATTGTAATTCATTGTAATTCACAGTGTAATTTATTGTACCCTACATATGCACATCTCCACTTTACTTATGCACACCCTCACCTTACATACCTGTACAGCACACACTTGCACTTTAACTGCTCTTTTGCACTTCTGGTTAGATACTAACTGCATTTCGTTGTCTTAGTACGTGTACTCTGTGCAATGACAATAAAGTTGAATCTAATCTAATCTAATATAGCTACAAGAGTCTATAGTTGTGCTACCAGCTCTTTGAGGCTGTATTTAGCCTCAGAGCTAAATGCCAGTGTTAGCATATTCACAACTCACAATGACAACAGCAACATGTTGATGTTTAGTAGGTATGCTCTCCATGGTCGCCACCAAGTATTTTAGCATCAAGCACAAAGAACAGCAGGTATTTTGTCCCATATAAACCAAAATTTTGGACAAATAAAACTTTGACCTGTGATGGCACCAGGTCAAAAGTTAGACAATCACCAAAGTTATTGTAGATCGTGAGGGGAGCATGAATTTGAATTTCATGGGAATCCATCTAATAGCAAGGTAGAACATCTCGAGATAGAACATCTTACTAACGCACTGCGTGGTAGAGGATTCATCATCTTGGAACCAATGCAGATTTAGTGATATTCAGCCAACATCCTCTCCTGGACCAAAGTGTTTGACAAAGGGAAATATTTTAACTGATGGTGGCACCTCACAGAAGATCAAAAGGTCCCATGAGTATCCATCCTGGCCTGACTGACTGACCGACTGACTGACTAACTGACTCATCCACAGAATTCATCAGCTTCAGTGAAACATTATGCAAGAATGTGCCTTCATCTTGTTTGCATGTTTGGCTTTGGGCTCTGACTGAATGCTGTCATCGCAGTGGGAGTCAGTAGATCACTGAGTAGAGTCAGGACAATCCAGAGGCTGTTTCCTCCTCACAGCTGACTGAGGGTCCCTCTCCCTGCTATTGTCCATTCAGCTGCCAGGGTCCATTCTCCAGAATGGAGGCCTTTTTCCATATAGCTGCTGAATTATTTATCTGTTTTTGTCTTAATTCCACTTGGAACAAGGGATCGCCCCCTCAGACCTTTATCTGAATATTTTCTCTCAGAAATGCTAATGACATGATATGTAGAAATGAGAGGTCAGTGGTGAGAACAGGTCCTTGGCTTCGTTATTACACATTTTCATGTCGGAATAGAAGATAATTTTATGTCCAGTTACCTCTGAGGATGATTAAAGGCCTGGTCTGGTGTTTAAGTGTCTTGTCATCTGGTTCAGTCACAGAGTCTGGGTAAGGGCAGGTCTGGATTTGCTGTAAAGGAATGTAACACACTCATGTTGCCTCTGGCAAAACGCAGCAAAATACAACTATAACAAGTCGTCCACATGGATAAACACCGGTCTCCCAAACCTCTGCTTTTCATTCTACCTGTGTGTCATCATATGTATGTGTGTGAGTAATATGAATTTTCCAGTGTTTTCCAGGTTTTCAATTCTATGGTTTGGATCATTTCCTGATTTTTCTGTGGATGCTCATTTTCAGACTTGGGTATTTGCACTGAAATCGAAAATAGAAGAAGTGTTTGTTTTGATTTACTCCACTGATTTAACATTACACTCCTATAACACTGTAGAACTCACAGTTTAAAGCTCCATATTTTGCGATTTTCTTGTATTTTATTTGAAGTGTTGATCCATAAGAATATATATTTGTAGTTTTACATCTCCTCTCTGAGGCTTCTCTCTGGAGCTCTGGTAACAACAGGTCGGTGAGCCAATCAGAAGAGAGGAGGCTCTGAGCCTCTCTTCTGATTGGCTGACTGTCTGAGTGATCTAATAAAAATATAGCAGATTTCAGGTAAACAATCAGATAAACCAAATCCTGCAAGGTTGGATGGTGGGTCCAGGTGGGCGGGGCTTGGGGCATAGCTGAGAGCAGTGACTTCTTTGTTGTGACATCACAAAGTTCCAGAAGTCCTGACGGCTTGTTTTAAGGCTCAGTGTCTGAATGTAGGTTGTGTGCATTTCGATGTGGTCTGAGCGCTTTGATGAGGGGGGCTGAAGAGGTTTTTGCTTTTCTAACTTGTCGTCTTCAGACCTGACAACTCTGACTCGAGTGACATCAGTTGAGGATGTTTATCAGCCGTCACTCAGCTCCCTCTGCAGACACTGAAATCTTTTCTCACAGATGCAGCAGTTGTACTCCCCAACAATGCACTGTGGTGTGGAGAATTGGTTCATGTCAGGTGGTTTGGGATGACGTCAAGTGTCAGAGAATGTGTGTTGTGCTGTATGATCTGAGGACGTCAGCTCAATGTATTAAAAGTACAGAGCCTGTGGATTGTTGACTGGTTAGTCCCTCTAACATACAGTGACTAGATCAGGCTTGCTTGATATTTTGGGTCCATATCTTGATGGCCTTCAATGATATTCAAACTCTATGAAAGCAAGTTTGATTTGAGACCACCGCTGGACACATTGTGTTTGTGATGTTGTGTTTAATCAGTTACAGTTGTGTTTTCAGTATCAAGAGTTGATCGTCATCCTGAATAATGAAACTGTCTTTAATGAGGTGATTTGTATTTGTTCACAGGAGCCAATGTGACCACTGAGAATCACCCAGCATGACCTCTCCACATCCACTGCTCTGTCACCCCATGGGTGAGTTATTCCTCTGTCACAGTAATGTTCAGTATCTTCTGGAATTGTTTGTTTGAAACCTTCTTCACATGGCTTCAGTCCAGGTCCTAGCATATGTGATGGCCTTGATTAGACCTTTAGCCTGTAAGATTCTGTACTTAGACTTGACAGATGTAGATTTGGTCCATTTGATGAACTACCAGTAGATCTGACATTGAGCCTGCACCTCTACCTCCATTAAGAACAATAACAACAAATGCAAAACCAGACAATTATCCACGTTTACAGTTTGACATATTTACAGCCAGTTTGTCAACTGACAGCACACAGTCCTACTTCCTGCAGTACAGCATCGTCCTAATGATGCATCAAAGGCTGTAGTAACTCAGTTTGTACAGACAGAGGGTTAGTCAACCTGAAGGAAATGTTTGCATTAAGTTAATGAGTTTCTTCATCACTGAAAAAACATTCTTTTCTATCACAGTTTTTTTTTTTTTTTTACCTTTGTACCATTTAAGGTTCTTTACTGGACTTGAACTGCTGATGTTTCAATAAATGAAGGTTGTAAAACTTGTATGATGTGACATCCAGCAACAGGGAAAACAAATTTTTTACAAAACTGAAGTCAACAGGTGCAGCCCGGCTCAGGTGATCACCTGCAGGTGAACCTGACTTATTAATCCCTTGCTGCTTGTGGTAGCATGTGGTAACTGGGCCTACTGTCCCAGTTACCACATGCTGTGTAAGAATGAGCAAACCTCTACAGACCATATGGTTCACAAATCTACCTGTCAGCGTTGACACAGTGACCTCTGGATGCCTCTCAGAGCTGTAGATACACTGCAGTACAGGAAGTGTGAGCACGATACTGATGTTATCAACAAGGTAAACAATGTGTTTTATCACTGACCAGAACATCTACAAATACATTTGTTGTTTTCAGCCTAATTAAACTGCTTTAGGTCCTGAAGGTAAAAACAAGCTCCTCTGTGCACCTGTTGACCCCTGTTCTCCCACACTCTGTGCAGTGTAAACACAGTATCTACTGAAATAATGTTGACAACTAAATTTGAACAGAGGGGCTGTCTTCATCACATAACAGTTTTTACTGCCTTTTCTTTGACTGATGTGAAATTTCAGCTTCTTATAAGCTCTATATTTAACTTTATTTTATGAAAGTGTAAATATAATGACTCTTTTTCTGCAGTACCTGCAGTAGCTTCATCAGATATTCAGGGCAGCCTGTATTTGCGCCCCTTGGGGGTCTGTGGCTCTGAGGCAGGTGGGTGTTTATGTGTAAGTTGTGGTGCCAATGAGGAGTGACAGGTGGAGAGTTAGCACTTAAAAGCCATATGTTTAGAGTATAATCTCCTCGGCTGCGGCACAACAGCAACTAATCCTGTTTCCCATGCTGCTCACTGCTCAACAAGCTGTCCACCATCATCTCACAGTAAATGAGGGTGGTCTGGCCACGTACCTTAGGTTAGTCTGCCTACTGACGGACTTTATAGTTCTAGGAAGAGTTCTCGATCCATAAACCAATAATAACTTACACACCTAGTGTACATACCCTCACCTGCTGAGGTAGTTCACTGAGGCAAAGTACAAACACCAGTCAGTTTACAGAATAAATGAAACATAAATGATAATTCTTGTTACATTAGGAGGCTAACACTGTACAGCTACAACCTGAAAACTAATTATTGTTTAAAAATGCTCACAGGAAATCAAAAATCAAAATTACATGTTGTCCGGGTTTGCGGTGAAAATCTGTGCTTGTTGCCTGTAACTACGCTGTAGCAGGAAGGAAACTGAGTCGCTGTTTTCTTTCCTCAGTGTCTGTCTCTAATGGGGTGTCGCATGTAGAGGAAGATGAGGATGAAGATGAACAGGGGGAGAAGTTTGAGTTTGACGACAGTGATGACGGCTCTCCAGAGACGAGCTCTGGCTCTCTCATTAACAGTGAATGGGCCACAAACACAACACAGTCAGAGCTTTATGCCAAGACAAAAACAGCTGAAGAGATGGCAGGGCGAGGCGTGAGTGGAGCCGCCAGTGGAGGGCAGGAGGGCCACGACCCCTCCCTGACCCACCAGTTCTGCTCAGGTGAATGTTGGTGATATGGTTCAATGAGGGTTTATATGCTTGTAGATTGTAATGTAATGTTCTTATCTGTTTTTTTGACAGATATGGAAGTCAGAGAGTCACCAGAGGGGTAAGTTATGATGGAACAAATTATAGACTGTAAGGCACAATAAGAAATATTTATTTGTAGGAAAGTTTAATTTCAAATCAGTGTGTGTGTAACATCCTTGGCCATGCAAAGACAAGACTTTCATATTTATCCTATATAAAAATAACTGGAAAAAACCCCTGCACTGACAGCTGTATGTAGGTGTGGTTTGCTAAAGTTTCCATCTACATTTTCTTACTGTCACCAGTCTCTGACTGATCCCACATGATAAGTAAGATTTCCACTGGCCTGTTGTTTCATTATTTAACCTGACACTGAAGTTGAATATGAAAGTTGATTCTTGACAAACAAACAGAAAAACAAGTTGACTCAAGGTTTAGTTATTAGTTTTATTCGGGAGCTTTAAACCTTTAAACCTTCATCTGCATTGTTCATGGTCTTCATCATCGTATGGACACTGTGTGTCACTGGAGACCAGGGATCTGCCACCTGTGTACGACCACCTGTTATCACATGATCGAGTTCCACACATGAACCTCTGGTTGAGTTTTTTAAATCTGTTTGGAAGTTCTAGAGAACCCACCTCACAGACTGATAAAATGTTGTGTTAATTGTTTTAAAGGAGCTATTCGTAAGTTTTGCTATTGCTACATAGCAAGAGCTGTCACCAGAGGTGGAAAGCAACCCTGTTGTTTTGCTTCTATTTCTATCACTTCCCCGGTTGGCCCTTTTCGTCACTTTCCAATACCAAGTCACTGTAGTGTCCAGTCTGCCCTGAAGAAGTAGCACTGCTCAGGGGTTGTAGTATAACCTCTTGTATTGCAAACATAAGAATGACTGTAGCTCTGGCCAAGACTGCTAAGTAACTAGCTGTTAATGCTAACGCTGGCTATATAGCAATAGAAAAACTTACAAATAGCTGCTTTAAGGGCAGTAAAGATCAGCTGACTGCCACTGTTGACATTTTATAGTGATAAATCTGAAAAGTTGTTTGACCTTTTAGATTAAAATCTTGTTTCAGGCGTTCCACCTCCTCTGATCTGGGAGTGACGGGAGAGTCGGAGAGTTTCTGGAAAGCGAACAGTGTTTGTGAAGGTAAGAATAAAAGGAACATGGATCCACATCCAGTTCTGCAGAGCAGCTGGTCTGTGTCCACATGCACACCAAAGTGAGGATGTTTGTGTGCTTTCATTTGGACAGTCCAGGCATCACATCGAGCCAAGGAGTGGCTCAGTGTGGTTTCAGAGCTCACACTGCGATTACACAAAGGTACACAACCAGTGTGTAGTGTCAGCTTTGATAGCAGCTAGCTTATAGCAAATGTAAGATGTTGTGTTTCAGTGACATCTTTTCATCTGAACATGTCCTGTTTGAATAGAGAGAGAGTAGTTATTCTTCAAACTTCCTGCTTGCAGTGAAATGCATCAATTTCACGGCCAGCAGTTAGCATTAGCAGCAGCTAGCTGTCCTCTGCTCCATACCTCTGTGATGTACAGTGTGTGATCTGTGAGCTCTTCTGTCTGTGTATGTGTTTTCACACCACCAACCCACCAATATGAATTTGCACCGTCTGAACCGTTGTTCACCTGTAGCACTGGTGGGCGTGTTGAACGTGAAACTGTGTTTGAGTCACAAGTTATTGTTAATTGTGTTATGCTAGTCTTGACAGGTCACAGTAATGTGTGTAATAAACCTGTTCTTCAGAGGCGTCCTTTGTCATGATCTCACGTGAAGGCTGTGAACACTTTATTAGAGAATAGTCTTTACAGAGATCACATACCTGGCAGGTGGGCTTCCTTTGAGAGAACTGGATGCTTTGCTAAAAACAACAAGGCCTGAACTTGTCCGAATTACTGTTACCTGTACTACTGCCTGTCATTTTAATTTTGTTAATGATAATGAGACATAGCCTAAAAACAGTACAACTAAAAATGAATTAACATTTAATATACAGAACAAATTTACAGATTATGCTTTTATGAGGGTGTGGAGAGAAAAGATGAACCGAGAAAATAACTCATCACTTTTCATATCAACATCGCACAAAGCAGGTGAAAGAATTGTTTTTTTCTTCTTCTTCTTCTTGTCAGCTTAGGCCTAACATTGGTACAGTAATGAATGGATACAGTGAGTCATAATAGAAACAAGGTGATTGGACGGATGTTGGAGCAGTGTAAAATTTACTGTTAGTGTCACAGCCTAATCTTTGAAAATTTATGTATTCATGATTTCTGATGAATGGCACATAGAATCAAGAGGTTTTTTCACAATGAACAATATGGAGACCAGTGTTTTTACAAACACAGACATTCATGGTTTGGTCCTTTAACATTGTGCTACTTAAAACAGTGCTGTCATTGTTTTATAGGAAAGTCCTCTTTCATGCCAGAAAGTGGTTTGGAGTCCAGCAGTGCAGTAAATGGGTACAATCTACAACAAGACTCTGCTGAGAATGAGGCATCCTCTTCAGTCAGTCCGCAGACTGAACATCACACAGCTGGTGTAGACAGACCAGCCAACCAGAGCACAATGACCTGCAGCCCAGACAGTGAGGTCGGAGACCCAGAGGTCATCTATGATGACGTGCCTGCTGAAAACTTACAGCACCCAGTGGAAGGTAAGTCTACTAACAATCTAGACGTTTACTGATTTTTGAACATTACGCAACACCGTGGACGACAAAGTTTAAAACACTAACTAAAACAATGGAGGCCTAAGAGACACAACTATGAAGTCCGTTATTATATGAAACTACACTGCGTGTTTTGTTCATGTGTTGGCTTCTATGTGTTTCTATGTATCAAACTAGATGACATCTATGAGGACATCCAGAGACCTGATCACCGTGGCTCCAATGGCTGGAGCTCCAGTGAGTTTGACAGTTATGATGAACTGTCTGACAGTGAGACTGTTTCTCCTCCGGCCCGCAGCAGCAGCAAGGTTTGGAGATATTCTTTGAATGTAGAAGTTTGATCAGGGGTAGAAATGAAGCGCTTTTGCTTTTCTCTTTAAACTAAACTTAATTAGAACTTGTATGAATTTAGGAGTGCAGTACCAAACCAACACAGTCAAAATGTGGTCTGTAAAATCGAAACAGTGAACTGAAAGACGACCAAGTGTTGATAGAAGAATTCTGATTAGTAGAGGGCTGTAGCATTTATTGTGCTGAATTGAAAGGTAATGAATGTTGTGACAAAATAAAACATAAATCTCTGAATATTGATATAAAAAGGTCCAAGCTGGTCCAACCCAAAAATCACCATGTAAGGGAATAACCACAACTCATTTATAGTTAATGTACAGAGTGAATGAAACCTGGTTTGAAAAAAAGAGGAAGTGGATTATTTCTGGCCACCCCTCGCTCTGTCAGCACTTCTGTCTTCTGCTTCATTGTGTGTGTTACTCCTGCTGTTGGACTTTCCCCTCCAGCTCATGTGTTAGTATTTTGAAAATGACACAGTCGAATAAGCTTTCAGAGTTGAGGTGTTATGAAGTTAATAATGAGGCAGAGGGTTATCAGCTGGGCATTACTGCTGAGGATGACTCTCAGTAAATAAGATGGATGTTTTCATGAGGTTTCTGAAGAAGTGGTTTGTACATATGAAGAGATCCACTAATCAATGAGGTAGGTGTCTTATCTTCTCAGTGATACTTTCAAAATAAATGAACAATGAATAAATAAATGATCTTGGTGACTGTAACAACTAGAGCTGGGTATTGAATGACATTACTCTTGGAGTACAGATGGTAGCTGAAGTGTGGAAAACTGTCACCCACCAAAGAACTGACACTGCCTGTCAGTGTTTTCACACACTGACCCGACTTTAAATCATATTTGATAAGTTTATACTACAGAGGATATTAAATATGCCTTTTATCATTCAGTCATGCTGTGATTGGTCAGCTGTGTGGAGGGTTTGACCTGCTCTCTCTCTATTTCTGTTACTTTTCATGTAAACAAGCAAGTGCAACAAAGCTTCCTTACATACTGTTTGAATTGTTTGTCACTCATCCAATTTTCTTGTGTAAAATCAATGGAATGACCCTTTGATTATTTCATTTTTACTGCGGTCAGACCTGTTCAATCTGCTGCTGCTGGTATCTTTACCTGCAGTAGATACTATAGCACAGGTGAAGGCAGAAACACACATTACAAATGACTCTACACAGGACTTGAGATCAGCACGGATCGAGTCTGTCCCAGGCTGAGTCACCAGGTCAGGTGGTGTAAATCTAACAAGCAGATGGTGTTATGGGTAAAATAATGAATGAGTATGATTTCAGAATCCAGTTTATCTTGTTGTTCTCTCTCCTCCAGCTGTCTCCCTCGAGTTTCCTGGGCGTGTCTAATCCAGATCATACATTTTTACTAAATATTTTCAAATTACAACATAATCTAGCTCAACAAACAGTTTTTGATGGATCTCTGTGTTTTTCTTGGAGGGTGTGTGTTCTTGCTGGATTTCAGTGGTTTTCTAGCAGAGTGACTCCAATCATAGTCATCCAGTGTATCATCCACAGTCATTAGTGAAGCTGCTTTAATTATTATTAAATAATATAATATATAAAATAATCCACTGTAAATATTTTGATTGTCATTTTTTTAAAATAATTTTGTCAAATAAATAACTGAACAATATAAACAGCTCAATTGCTTGCACGTTGTGTCAAAGAAATGAGCCACAGGGGTCGGCTCAATGAGGGTTGATTACGTGAGTGGCCAGTGTGTCCAGTCCTGCAACAGCTCTGTACACCCTGAATGACAGGCGCACAGAGTGGGTCGGTAAACAGTACTGAGGGACAGTAAAATCAATATGTGGGTTGATATTGTGGTGGGCTGCCACAGATAAATCAATGTATGGGAAACAGATTTGTCAGATGTGTTAATCTTGAGCTCTGCTGTCTGCTGTTGTTCTGCCAGCTTCCTGTAGATGTGCTGAGGTTGAAGGAGCGCTGTGCCATCACCACGAGGGAGCTGGCCGTGCGTCTCAGTACACCTCATGCTGCTCACATCAGACAGAGCTGTGACACTAAGGTAGGCTGAAAGTCTCTCCCTTCCTCCTCCTTTTTTATGGATACAACTGATCCGTAACTGACAATAAATGATCACAGTGGAGAAACTGGGATCAACCAACAGAGTAATGTGATACAGCTGCTTTTTCTAGTTCTGTAAAAAAGTAAACTAAAATAATCTAATTTTAGCAAATTGAATTGGATTTGTTCCATTTTTGTTTCAGATTTTATTATCTACAGTAACCTGATTATACATCTGTTCCTTGTTTTTCAGGTGCAGCAGTTCATGAAAGCAGCAAGAAACGGTACCAAGGATGGTTTAGAAAAGACACGGTTGGCCATGATTCGCAAAGTGTCATTCCTACAGAGGAAAGACTCCACAGGTACAGACACTGGAGCTGGGATGAACACCTTCACCTAATATGTTCAGTTTGTGGAAATCAGATTTATAGTCTCATTAGCACCAAGACTGCAGAGGTCATTTATTTCTTCTTATGCAGAATGTGAACTGAGAACCAGACAGGTATAACAATGGATAAAATAATTCAATAGCACAAAAACTCCAATTGTTGCCAATCATATAGCAGGATACAGACCTGAAAACTAGCTGAAAGCCACAAAAACGCAATGCTTGCAATGAAAAAAACTGCTGTTACTTACTTCTCTGGAAGATGATGTTTTGCAAAATGCTTTTAAGAACATATTCAGTTGCTGCATATTGCTGCATTTAAAAGAAGTCACAATTAATATTACAGGTACAAAATAAAAAGTTGCAATCAAAAGGTTATTTGTATGTTTTCTCTGGTGCTGAACATGTTTTTGGAGCAGGTGGTGTTGATGGTTGACTGCCGAAAGCTTCAGCCATTGTTGCATTTACAATGCATAAGGTTATAATACGTCCTCTGAGCAGCTACTTCTTCAGGGCAGACTGGAGGCTGCAGTGATGAGACAGACTGAACAGACCGGGGCTAGCTAGTTAGCATGCTAAGTTCAGTAGAAGAAAATAATTGGTGGAACTAGAAGCAAAATATGATGGTGGCTTTCCACCTCTGGAGAGAGCTATTGGTGAATAAAGGAATGAAGTTTGATCCTGAACTCACAACGTTACTTTAAATTGGTAAGTAAATAGTTGTTAATGCTAACGTTGGCTGAGTTAGCAATAGCAAAATTTACAAATACCTGCAATAAGCTGCAATTGTGTGCTGCACTGTAACGAGGCTACCTGAACAGACTCCTGTGTGTTTTTTATCTCTGTGAGAATTAAGTGGTTGTGTTTAATTTTTCAGGTGAGGGAAAGGACGATGCAGGTTACATGGACATGTCTGTCTGTGAGTTAAAGCACCCTCCACCGCAGCTCTGCCCCATGCCAGAGGGGCTCAGCAGTCAGCAGGTGTGTATGTATGCTTGTGGATTGGCCAAGAGCTCATGTCTGTTTATCAAACTAACCAGATAATCGTGAAAGGCCGGTTAATATTTTTTTCAAAATGACACAAAGGGGAAGATTAAATCAGAGTTTCTATCATAAAGTTTATTTAGACAGCTGAACATAATTTCTGGGTATTGTATTACAATCATTACAGTTTCACTGCCTCCGATTTATTAACCTCAGTATCGCATACATTTATCAATTTTACTTCAAATATGCAATGGGCCAGTGGTCTGTAAGCTGAAACAGGTTTAGAGTAATGCTTTTTTCTAAGGTTAAGTTTTTTCCTTGTGAAACATCTGCACAAAGTGTTGAATTTCATAGATGGTAGCCTAACACTACTCATAACAAAAGCTAAGCAGAAGCCACTGGAATAAATTAGTGACTCAAAACTGTAGCAGCACTAAAAAGAGAAACTGAGAGCAGCAGAGTGGTGACTGTTGTAGTGATGGAATTAGTGCTGTGGAAATGTCCATAATACTAAATTTACCATATGGACATTTACAGTACAGATAATGTTTTTTATTACATATTTTTATATATTTATTATATTTATTTATGTTTTTTTATGTATTACCACCATGGTACATGCAATGCAGGGCATTACAGTATGTCATAATGTGGCTACTGTGACTCTTACTCAGTGACTCTGTGACTCTATTTTTTTGACAGTTTACAACTTGTAATGTTGTATTATTAAAACAGTGTATTATAATCCCTTACTAGTTACTGCAGGTTTATCCCAGATTGATTTGAATATGAGTTTCTCACTGCTTCCTTCAGGTTGTCAGACGTCTCATCCTCAGCTCCATTGTTCAGAGTGAGAGCAGCTACCTGGACTCTCTGAAGAGAATCCTCCAGGTGAGTCACATCTGTCCTCAGGTAACAGGACCACCACTGCATGTCAGAGTGGGAAGGCTTTATTACTATGTGATAATGTAAAAATGCAGGATTGATGAGTCCAGCTGTGTCAGGACAGTGTTCATTGTTCGTCTGGTGACTTATTTGTAACTGACTCAGAAGTTTCAGTTCTTCAGTTCATGTGTGGAAAAGATCGTGAGCCAGTGACCATAACAACAGCAGTGATAATGATATTATTCTATGGGTCCTCTCTTTGTGATTTATGGTGATATAAATCTATTACTTAAAAGTCTTGACACCTGATATCTGAGGTTATTTTTTAGCTATTCAGAAATGAACGAGCGCATCAAAGTGCAGACGTTAATCTGGAGCGTGCACCTCCCCGCTGAAAGTGTAGTGCAGTTAAGAGCATGCTGCGGCAAAAAAGAAAGAGAAATATGCTGTGTGTGCTCTATAATCCTGCTGAGAGAAACATAACCACAGATCTACAGTATAACAAGCTGACATTTCTTTCTCTTTCAGGAGTACCAGAAGCCTCTGCTGGAGACACAAAACTTGATCCTGAACCCTAAGAAAGTGCGTCAGATCTTTTACCGTCTGCCGGAGATCCATCAGTGTCACTCAATGTTCCAGATTGCCCTGGCGTGCCGTGTGGCTGAGTGGGATCACAGCGAGAAGATCGGAGACCTGTTTGTGGCCTCGGTCAGTCACTTTCTTTCCTTCAGTGATTCATTCTTCATTTCTGTCCTTTCGCTTTTTTCTTCCCACTGAGCGGAGATGTCCGTTGGGTCACTGGTGTCTCCTACTCCAAGCTGAAATAATGCTGAGGACGTCACTATGACATCATCAGGGTTATTTTCTCAGACTTGACAAACCTCCTCTAGAACCACAGAGAACATTATAAAACTGTTTTCACAGGCTGAATAGTTTTAACCAAGTGAGTAGGTTGAGCTTCACGTTCCTTTAATATTTCCTCCTGCTTTTAAAATAAAAGCTGGGACAGTGGTGATTTTTTTAACCACCAGATGGAGACATTCAATTTGTTGGCAAATAATCTAGTTTTTAGTCTGGAGTAAAATTCATTTGAAAGTATTTACCAGCTGTAGATTTTAGTGGCTGTGTTCACTTTGTGATAACTTGTATTTCTACAGAAAATTGAATTGAATTGTCCATTAAAGAAAAGTATCAAAATGTTGTGTAAATTGCAGACGATGCATTTCCAATCAACCGGTCATCAACCGCAGAGTCCTGATGTTAAACTCTTTCCTCCACAGTTTTCGAAGTCCATGGTGTTGAACGTGTACAGTGACTACATCAACAACTTCACCAACGCCATGGCACTGATCAAGAAGGCCTGCTTGTCTAAACCTGCGTTCCTGGATTTCCTCAAGGTGCTCACGCTTTTGTTTTTAGCTCAGTGTTTGTTAAACCCTGTCTGCACTGTCAGTCTGTTTCAGTTGTTTGTCTGACGGAATTGAAACTCTGCTGTTTTATCCAACCAACAGTCTGCACTCGACAAACACTAAACTTAGTAAACAATCCATATTTTCACAGGAATTACTTTCTACAGAGGGAATACCGGAAACCACTCCACCTATACCCAACCCCGAACCTCACTGACCCTCCTCAAAGATCCTGATGTAACCCCACATGATTGCTATTTGAATTGTTAGACTTTCTACAGTCACCAAATCTTCCTTCCATGTGACTTTCAGAAGAAACAAGCATCCAGTCCAGACAGAATCACTCTGTACGGCCTGATGGTCAAACCCATCCAACGCTTCCCTCAGTTCATCCTGCTGCTGCAGGTGAGTCACTGACACACTCATCCTCATGAGCAACAGAACTCCAGTCACTGACACTATGGCCCTGTTCAGACCTGCATTAATGAGTGTCTTCTTTGATCCGGTCACAAGTGGACAGCTCTAACCACGTCAGTTTACGCCTGGCTTTAAAATGCATCTCCAAATGCGTCTCCAGTGACCACTTGTGATCGGATCTCACTTACGGATATCGCTCCCTTGTCGATGTGTGTATGTGTGAAGGAGAGAGAGAGAGAGAGAGAGAGAGAGAGAGTGAGGCGGGGTTGAGCGAATCCTTGTGCTGGGTACAGTACTGCAGTGAAATGAGGCTTTAGACAATTGTAAAAAATGTGTCCTCAATGCGTCTCGGGTACTTTCACACCTGAACTTAGAGCCGTTCACTTGTGATTGGATCACCCGAGATGATTAATACCAGGTCTGAACAGGGCCTATATTTAAAGGTCCCATATTGTATAAAGTGAGATTTCCATGTCTTTTTTGATTATAAAGCAGGTCTTTGTTCTATATTGATACTGTGAAAGTATCAAAGCGCTCAGTCCACAGACGCATCGGCTCACCAACTTGTTACTAGAGCTCCAGAGAGAAGCCAGAGAGAGGAGATGTAAAAATACACTGAGATATGTTTTGTTTCTTAAAACCACAAATATATCTTCTTATGGATCAACACTTCAAATAAAACACGGGAAAAGTGTAAAATATGGGACCTTTTAAATTCACCTGTAACCTGGTAAACATGATCTGCACACCTGTCCACACCTGTCCACACCTGTCCACACCTTAAGGCTGTCATGTGACACGTGGTTGAAAATGAATCATCCTTAATGTAGTAATGACATATAATCACAGTTTTGCTGTGTTGCCACATCATGCAGTCACGTGACTAAAGCTGAGCTGACATGAATCCATGCTTATGACGCTGTATTTTCAAACAGGAAGCGTAAAGAAAGGGGCAGTATGTGATCTGTGCCCTGCCGCTCAGACTAACTGCCTCTCCTGGAATATTTGGTTTCATTTCAAGTCCTGAACTGTTGCTCTGAAACTCTGTGTCTGAGTTTCTGACAGGAGGAAGTGAAAGAACTCATGTCTCTGCTGCAGTGCATTGTGGGTCCTGAATGGTATAAATGGCTCTTAATCTGCCCCCTCACCATCATCAAGGTTTTGTCTGAGGCTGTTTCTGTTAAATGGACCGCACTTATATAGCGCTTTTCTAGTCTTATCGACCATCAAAGTGCTTTACAATGGAATCCACATTCACTCATTCACACACACATTCATACAGCGCCTCTACCATATACACACACTCATTAACTGCTGGAACAGCAACATGCCGACTGGATGAGCCGGGGATTGATCCACCAACCTTACAATTAGTGCTCTACCTCCTGAACCACAGCTGTTTCTGAATATACTGGAAGAAGCGCTTTATGAATGTGTGTGAATGGGTGAATGTGACTTTTTGAGTGGTCGATAAGACTAGAAAAGTTCAGTCCATTTACCATTTAAGATTGTGAATCTTCTGAAGAGGGGATTGATCATTTTCTTAATTGATATTTCCTCTTTTTGTAACCCACCGTGTAAGAAAGGAGCTGATGTCCTTCCTCACTACCTCTACCTTGGTATGTTCCCTGTCACCTTCAGGTGAGGTAACCCTCTTTGTTGTGTTGTTGTTATTGTCGTTGTGTTGTATCAGGACATGTTGAAGAACACTCCCAAGTCCCACGCCGACCGACTGCCGCTGCAGCTGGCTCTCACTGAGCTGGAGACTCTGGCCGAGAAACTCAACGAGCAGAAGCGAGTGGCTGATCAGGAGGCTGAGATCCAGCAGTTGGCTCACAGTGTGGGGGACCGCACCTTCAACAAGGTGACACAGGACGCATGAGAATGCACACACATCCACCTACGAGTTAGTGAGACTGTAACCGTAGTAATATCATTCTCACTCTTGAACCGTTGAAACGCCTGAAATGAAAAGGGCTCATCCTCCGTAAATCTGTTTTAGACGATATTCACATAATTCTTGGGCTCAGTTAAACTTGATGATGTGTACAAGAGAGCGACCATGAATATTCATCTACCACCTTCATTAGCTGTCCTTCAACTTCATGTTAACTTGGCTGCAGCTTTCATCAATTCATAGATGATGAACTGGGAACTTCTGCTGGGTTTGAGCAACACTGACATTCAGCTCATTGACTGGTTCATACACTGAGAGTGTATTACAGGATCTGTAAAGGTCCTCACTGAGGTGCTTTGTGTTTCCAGCTGCTGAACCCGGAGCAGAGGCAGCTGATTCAGTGTGAACTGCTGACTGAAATTGTTTATGGTGACAACGGTCAAATCCTCAAGTCGAAGGAGCGGAAGGTCTTCCTGCTCAATGACACCCTGATCTGTGCCAACATCAACCTGAAGTAAGTACATCCATCACTGTGCGTCATCTCCACTGGTTCAGAGACTGAAGTTTTAGATGAAAGTGTGTAGTTGTCATTGGACGGACCAGTCAAACATCTCCTGTCCTTCACAGCTGCTTAGCACAAAGATGGGGACAAACATCTGGCCCTGCTCTGTCAAGTGAAAATTGTTTTATATACATTTTTTGTGCTAATGAAGACATGAATGTAGAAATGTGCCCTGGCTGTTCATATAACAGCTGTGATGATGGTGAATGGAAGTTGCTCAGACTTGTGCAGTGAGTCCTGTTCTCATGGAGTTACCAGGTTTCAGCTCTGTTGTAACAGAGATATTGTAGGGAGTGGGGGTCAGTGGGGATGGGAGGCTTCCCACTGATGAGACAGCTGGATTTGGACTAACAGCCATGATGATAACATGTGTAATATGTTTGTCCACCAGAGGTCCCCCTGACATCAGCAGCCTGGTCCCTGTTGGTCCTAAGTACTCAGTGAAGTGGTTTGCCCCCCTGCTGCAGACTCAGGTGGTGGAGGTGGGACAGGACAGTCTGCAGAGCCGGGACAGTGTCGTCACAGCCAGACGCCTCAGCTCCATCTCCAGCACCAGCGGTACACTCACAGCTCAACACACACACTGACGTACAGTAAATACAACACATGCACAACACTCACTGAGCTGAGGCAACACAGGCAGATAAATGATCACGTGGGGGATGTCGGTGAGATTACTCTGATCATGTTTCTGCACTAATGACTGATGATGATGATGATGATGATGATGATGATGATGATGATGATGGCTGAGATGAAGAATCAGCTGAACCAGGTGTTAAACAAAAACTACACGGGAGAACTCGACTGTTCTATTAGTTTTAAAGTTTCATTAACTAATGGACCAACTGTGCACCATCTACATTTTCCTTATGTATTTATTCATTATTTATGATAAACATGGATACAAAACAAATTATAGGAAATGTAATGATCAGTTTACGCAGTATCTCAGTAACACCTTCAGGGACCTTCTTAAAATTTGGCATAAACATTCACTTGGAATCAAGGATGAACTGATTAGATTTTTGTGGTCAAAGGGCAGAGGTCAAGATCACTAAGCGTCTTAGGGCCTGAAACTTTAAACTAAACAGGTCAGTGACAGTGTTAATGATGTCCAGCAAAAACATTTAATTTACTTCATCAAATAGCAAGTCATCAAAATTGCAATCGATAGTTTTCTGTCTGTCAAGTGATCAATTCATTGACTATTAGATTCAGTACTAAAGCGTACATGTACCTGTAACTCGTCCATCTTGGGGCCCTTTGCTGTCATCCCCTCTCTCTCTCTCTCTCTCTCTCTCTCTACTCCATCCTGTCTTTTCCTTCTCATCAATGAACAGATTAATTCAGATTATATTTGTGTCACTGGGATGCTAATTGAATGCTAATTAAAGAATCAGTGTTAGTGGATGATGTTCAGGTGTGAAGCTGACAGAGAAGATGCGGCTCCCTGTGTTTCAGGTAAAGTCTTCCTGGGCCCCCCCAGACTGTACCAGGAGCTGGAGGAGCTGCAGCACGACCTGGCTGTGGTGGAGGAGGTCTCGCTGCTGGTGGGGACGCTCAATGGGACCTACCAGGTAACAGCACCTGTTGTTTTCTGTTAACGCTGAGGGAATAATGACTGCTCTCACATCACGTGGGACTAAACCTAAACCACGCTCGAACAGGCTGCTGCTGCTTCTCGTCTCTAGCAGCCGCTCTGACTTTTTGCTTCTTAAACACATTTGTTTTGTTTTTTTTTTAGACTTTTTATTTTGATTTGTTTTGATATGAATTTATATTTTGTGGTCATCCTCTTGCTTTTTGGATGTTGTCTTGTCTCTTATATTTCCCCTTTTCTCTCTTCCTGCTGCATTTTCTAACTTCTGTTTTTAGACACAGAAGTTTTTTTTCTTTTTAAAAGAACACCTCCTCATTGAAATATTCAGGCTCAATGAAAATGTAAATATTGTTGGTTTGTATTTATTCAATTATCTCATTCATTCAGAAAACAAAAAAGCAAATAAAACCTACTGAATTTAGTTCAAAAGCTGAGCAGGGCTCGAGATGACGTCACTGTAAAATCCATCTGAATGCATTACTGTGTGATGTCACAAAGTAATGCTCATATGTCCAGGTGGACATATGTCATATGTCATATGTCCAGGTGCTAAACTGAGATTTAAAGGACTAGTGTCTAGGATTTAATAACATCTAGCAGAGAGGTTGCAGATTGCAACCAGCTGAATACCCCTCCCCTCACAGTTGCCTTTCCAAGCGTGTAGAGTGGCCTTATGTTCATTATTCATACCTCATTTATTCAATTCCTTATAAAGATCCTCATTTATCACCAAGTCATTGTCTTGTATATTCCTTCAGAGCAGAAGCAAAGATCCCTGAATTGAGAATTTACTTGTTTTATAAGGCTGATTAATTTGGTTTATATATTTTATATATATATTTTTGATTTAACTTTTAATAGAAGGTGGTGCCTCAAATTTCAGCGAGACTTGAGTTAATTATTATCATTATCATTATTATTATTGCACTTTTGGGTATGAATTCATTGTTCATCTTCATTTTCTCATTTTCTCAGTCCTGTGTTGTTTTAGTGACATCAACATGTGACCACAGTTACACCGCTGCTACACTGTTCAGTACAGGCTGAAACTTTTTCAGTCTTTCTCAGAAGATGTTAATAAAGTAAAATAAAATCTAACCGACCTGTCCTTGCTCTCCCCTCTTGTGTCTGTCAGAATCTGAACACCACGGTTTCTCAGGACTGGTGTCTGGCTCTGCTGAGACTCATCCGTCTAAAGGAGGAGGAGATCCAGAACGCCAACAAGTGTCGGCTGCGTCTGTCTGTACCAGGCAAACCTGACAAGTTAGTGTCAGTGTTAGGAGGTTCATATTAGAGAGGCTCAGAGCCGGGACACTGTTGTAGTGAGGTTTTAAAAGGCAGAGGTGTTTAGTCTTGGATTACAAAGTCATTTTAAATGCTAACGTGGTTTCGTTTCCACTCACAGGTCTGGTCGTCCAGTGAGCATCATGGTGGTCTTTAACACTCCCAGTCCCCTCAGTAAGATCTCCTGGGTGAACCGGCTTCACCTCGCCAAGATCGCTCAGAGTAAGTTCAGCACTCTGTTGTTAGGTTTCCATCCAAATGTAGCAGAAAGTTTTCCTGTATTTCAAGACAATAGATAAAAGAAAATGTTAAATTAATGCATAACGGAGTTGGTTCATGGAGTTAAAGATCGGTGAAAAACAATGTAGACGATATAATGGAAATATGGCATTTTGTTTCAGTTTGTTTCATGTGTCATTTGAGGATCATTACAGTCTCTTCACTGTCCACCGGTGTTCATTTTTGCACATGAATTTAATTTAGTTTTAGTGTTTTGATGAAAATGGTAATTAGTTTCAGTCAAATCTTATAATATTAAAAATACTCCTTATTTATTTTATTTTATTTTATTTTATTTGTATAGCAACTTTCTTAACAAAGTTACAATGTGCTTGTGTAAATAAAACATAAAACATAATGATTGAATGTTGTTTATCTTCTCAGGACAGGAAAACGCTCCGGGGTGGGAATGTGCTGAAGAAGATGGAAAGACAAAAGCTCCGTTTAGTTTTCCACTGTTGACCTGCAAACTGCCGGTTTTCTCTTCCAAAACACTGAAGGTGAGAGCTGTGCAGATATACATATGCAAAAGACGATAGCATTTGGGGCCCTGTTATTATTTGGTGTTGGTGGTTTTAATCTCTGATCTTGGCATTGGTTGGATTTTATAGCATATTTTATACCTCTGACTCTACGTGTGTGAAAACAAATGTCTTCTGTTTGTGTAGCTGGAGGCAGCCATTCACAGCCCGTCTCAGTCCAGCCTGCTGGGTTTCTGCTCTGCCAGTACATCCTTACCACAGGGTTACCTTTGGGTGAGTGCTTTTTATTCTTGAAAAGAAGAATATCCTACACACTGCTCTTGCTCAAAATCACAATTTATTTATTTATTCAATTATTTTAAACAGTTCTTACAACCATGATCTTAAATTGATATTGCTCCACCCATCTTGTGTACTCAGGAGTGCGACAGTTATTCTCTTATGGGAGTGTCTGTCAATCATGGACAGTGATCTGTGTATATTCTGTCATGTTTTATTCCACATACATATATAAAATCTACACACACACACACACACACACACACACACACACATATATATATATATTTATATGTATGTATATACAGGTATATATACAAACTTTTCATGTTAAGCTAAGCTTGGTCCCTTCTGTTCACACGGTGCTCAGGCTGCTGGTGGAGGACGCGTCTCCACCCATGGCCAAGTGGAGATCTTCTCCCTGAACCGTGCCACTCCTCGCCTGGTCAAGACCATCCCGCTGAGAGCCCCAGTCCTCTGTCTGGAGTACATGAAGGAGCCGTGTCCCAGCACAGAGGAGGAGGCTGAGAAGGCCCAGAATGCTGCCAAGATAGGAAACATCATCTGTGTCGGTCTGCAGGACGGCAGGTCAGTCATCTCTGCCCAGTTTGTCGAACTGATTCAGAGCACAGATATTGTGACCTTTTATCTCTTCCACTCAGTCATTTGTATACAGGTAAAACAAACCAGATACAACATGTTGTTTTGTGAAAATTAGAGGTGTTGACAGGTGTATTTTTGAACTTCACATTTAGACACATTTAGTCTAGTTGTCTCCCCTGCTTTCAGTCTTTATGCTGACCTAGGATATCCATATCCTGACTCCAGCTCTAGATGTGAGATTGAGACTCATCTGAACATTTCACTCAGAAAGAAAGAGAAGAAGTGAATTTACCAGAGTTTTTTACTGTTCCTTTAAGCTTGTCTTTTATTTTGTCTCTACAATTTTATTTATCGGTGTAATGTGTCTTCTTGTCTTCCCAGCATCCATGTGTACAGCAGTGTGGACACAGCTGTTCAGTGTCTGCTGACCTTGGTGAACCCTGACAGCAGTCCAGTCCTCTGCCTCAAACATTTGCTGTCTTTCCTCTTTGCTGGACTGAACAACGGCAAAGTAGCTGTGTACCACAGAAAGTCTGGAGGTGAGAGCTCACTTAAAAACACCTGCTGCACCCTTGTAAGGGTTCAGGTTGGTTTGTATGTCAGAGTGAAGAATATTACACTGGAGTAGTAATTGCTTGAGCAAAGAGTTCTGAATAGATACTAAACCATGGACCGTTGTGCTTCACAGAGAGATTGTTGGACCAGGAGTCATGCAGGCTGGTGTCTCTGGGCTCTGAGCCGGTCTGCAGTCTGTTGACACTTGAAGATGCTGTATGGGCCAGCTGTGCAAACCATGTCACTGTCATCCAAGTTCCCAGTCTCCACACACAGGTAGGCAAGAGTTTTTTTGTTAATCCTATATATACACTTAAGAAGGTTAAAGCCTTTGTTGAGCGTGTATTTGCTGACCTCTGCTGGTATGAATATTTTATTGCACAGGCTGACAATACCATCCTTGCCCAGCAGGGAGAAACACCAATGTACATGTGTCGTGGACTGCACCATGCAAAAGCAAATCAGGAAGCAAGAATTTTAATTTTGCTTATTTGCACAATTTTAAAGTCTGATATCTAGTTTTCATGAAGCATCCAGGCTAAAAGCTACCAGGCTGAGTGAGTGAAACAGACTTGAACGAACACAGAGCAGGAACATTGAGAGAAGAAAAATTAGTTAATATTACATGAGAGAGGTCTTTAATGGGCACTTACATGGGTAATAGCAAACACACTGACACATTTACTGTGCACAAATTTGTTTGTTCAAATAAATTATTCCTTGGCTTTACAATATTTTATTCATGTGCTTTCTGTGCTCAAAAGTGACCCATATGACAAAGATATGACTCCACAGAACCCTGTGTCATGGTTTACCTGGAGGTTGTGACTGATCACCTGTCGACTCTGACCATCTGTCACCCTGTCTCTCTCTGTACCGTAGAGTTTTGAAGCCCACCCTGATCCAGGCTGCAGTGTTACACACATGGTTCGTTCAGGGGGGGGTGTTTGGATGGCCTTCACCCTGGGCTCATCCCTTCACCTGTTCCACACAGAGACTTTGGAACCACTGCAGGAAGTCAACATCTCCACCCGCACTGCCCACCTGACACCAGGCAAGTCCAGACAAGAACCCAGAGTCAGATGAATATACAGAGTACATGGTGCTGATTTCAGTCCTTTATTGAAACATCTGACTGTAGAGTAATTCAGTGCCATGATCGGACATTGTCTCTCATTATTAAGAAGCCCTATGTTATCATTAAGAAGCATTTGATATCTCAAGGAAATAAGATAATGAAGTCACATGTGCTGACTACGGTGCAGCTCAGCACTGAAACAGTTTATTCAGACAGTAAATGAGGAAGATGACCTCCTTCACCTCTGATTTGAAATGGTTTCTATTGACTTCAGTGAAGCAACTTGTCTTGGTCATTGTTTCTCTGCAGGCGCTGGATGTTCTTCTCTCCTCCTTATAAATCATGAAGATGATGATTTACCTTCTGGTGAATCTGAACTGCCTGAGTGGCTCTGTGATTGAACTGTCTGGGTTCTGTGAACGTGGACTGTATCAGGCTGTGACTGCAGTGACGCTGGTCATGTTAATGACTGAATGTCTGTGTTTCAGGTCAGGTTTGTGTCTCCAGCTTGCTGATCTGTCAGGGCCTGCTGTGGGTGGGGACCGGTCAGGGCGTCATCCTCACCTTCCCTGTACCCACCCTGGAGGGCATCCCCAAGATCACAGGTCAGGACTGAGAACAGTAGAGAAGCACAAAGTAGAGGAGAGAGAAAATACAAGTTAATGACATGAAGTAGTATGATGTTGTGTTTCAGCATTTATGACAAAACCTCTCTTCCCATTACAAACTAAATTAACCAAAAATGAAACGGAAAGAAAATCAAGGTACTTCATAATAATTCACTCTTCACTCAGATCTGCCTGTTGTAGCAGGACTGTTGCTCCAACAGTTTTAAAGACCTGCTGGTGGATCTGATATTGTCATGGATTATTATATTATTATTCAGCAATTTCCACCTGGCACAACAACTATATCCTGTCCATGTATCCTGCTTTACTTCTCATGTGTTGCCATGTGAGACATGTAGACCTGTTATACCCCTCAGGTAAAGGCATGACATCTCTGAACGCTCACTGTGGTCCAGTGGATTTCCTGATGTCGACCTCCAGCACTCTGGCCTCTGACTTGCTCAGACGGGACTCCATCCTCAACAGCAGAGAGGAAGGGGTTAACGGAGAAGGAGGGGGAGGCCCAGGAGGTAAAGGTGATGTGGGAGGAGATGAAGGAGGGCAGAGGCGGGAACAGAACAACTACCCCCATAACTCAGAGGCAACTCCACCGAGGGAGCAGAAGCCCAAGCGGCTGTTGCTGCAGTACCGCCTCCACTCCACCTGCCAGCTGCCCGGGAAGCTGCTGACCGCCCAGCCCGACCAGGGGAACCCGAGAGCCCCCCCAGACTCGCTCGAGCACTGCCCAGAGGATGGCTCCATTTATGAAGTGAGCGAGGACCCTGACGTGTGGGTGAGGGGGCGGTCTGTGGAGTTGGGAAGGGAGGGGGAGGCCAGGCGGAATAAAGTCACCTCTACAGCCATCTTCTCCGGTGGCAGAGGATTTCGAAGGATAGGACAGACGGCCTCTGCAGACACCAGCTCAGACTCCAGTGAAAATACACTGCTGGTGTGGCAGCTTCCTCTAGCTCTTAGCCAATGACAGACAAGCATGTCACCTGACTGAGTAACTGTGAGTCTAGACACACCTGTGGACTCCTCTTGTCTGAAGTCAAAGGAGCCGTCACCTTTGACAGTTTGATGTTTCCTCTGGTTTCATTTCAGTGGTTTGGTTTTGACTGGTGAAAATCAAGTAATGTAACAAGCTAACGCTAGAGGTATCATTGCTTGTGAAGCCTACCTATACTTTAGTCAGCAGCTACCTCCAGGAATGTGGGACATTGGGGAGACCAACTGTTTCCAGCTCTTTCCAGATGTGATCATGACATTTAACTGTATCAGTTTCTCACACTGGGCCCAGTTTTCAGAGTTGGCTCTACTGAGGCTTTATATCTGTTTTACATGCATAGATGTGATGCATGCAGCCCCAGACAGGTGGTGGATTTTCTCTAGTGGGACATATGCATTTAGGATTAGAATACTGCAACATTTTGGGTAATAGGATTATCTTCTTTTTTGTGGCAGTGGGATTAGATAGTCATTTTCATGTCATTAAGTGTTAAGTATGGAGCTACACTGAGTTATATGCTGGAACTGTTTCTTCACAATCAACAGCCCAGTGCAGTGGCTGTGTACAGCTTCCTGAAGAATCATCTTCACATAACTGTGTTGAGATAAAGCAACAATAAATGCAAAGTCCATCAATTAAAATGTACTCTGAGTAACGTTACTGCGTTACATTTTTAAAATGGGGAAGGGGAGAGGTAAAAATATTATGGTGATAATAACAATAATTGATAAATTGACAATAATAAAATTATTGAATCAAAGAACATCTTTAGGCTACCAGGCATATATACAGGCATATATGCATTGGTATGTCAATGCATATAAACCGTTACAGGTGAGAACAAGCACTGAAAGCAACCAAATATTTCCAATCAGGCTCTTTGCAGCGGGTGCATTCAACTGATAATGACAAATATACACAGTTGGCAGTGCTTGAAGCTTTATTGCATTATACAGAGAGGTGTTTCTGTTATTTAGCCTACCTTCATTTAAACAAGTTCTATGTATTGGTATTGGAATCAGCCCTGAAAAAGTGCCGGGCAAAAGGATAGACTGTTGTTCTCCAAGAAATAGTTCCAGCACATAATTCCCGCTAAAACCACAAATTGCCCTTTGAACATTTCTGTTTGTATAAGCTTTAAAGGTGTCGGTAGAGTAATTTTTTAACTTGGATGGAGCCAGCTAGCTGCTTGTTTGTGCTAAGCTAAGCTAACAACAGTAAATGTGGGCTGCATTTCATCTCCATTTTCTTAGTATATCTGTCCCTGAGTCTTTTGCTTCCTGTTAAGTACAAACATGTCATTTGCATTTCATGTGTGTGCTCCAGAAGTTCAGTCTCTACCTGCTGGCTGAACATACTGCTGCCATCTAGCAGTTTTCTTTGCATCGTCAGAGTAAAACATTAATGAACACCCTTACACTATGATTCCTAACAACACTGTCATTATCAAACTGAATGAATGAATACATTAAAAATCAACGAGGATGATAACACAAAGACAAAAGGCTTATTTCCATTGTGGTGCTCTAGAATAACATTTAACACAGAGCAAGATAAAGGACAAGACAACAATAAGACAACAAACAAAGACAATACAATGAACATATAAATAGCGACTAAACAGCAAGCGGTGGTAGCTATCTCAGCATTCTCACAAAAGTTAATAATTATAAATTGTATATACTACATGGTACTTTGTAAGATTGTATTTAAGGTCACTTTAAACTGTCATCCATTTCAAATGTGTGGGCAGATTATTCCATTGTATTGCTGCACTGTAGAGAAATGTATTTTTGCCCATTAGGCTATTGAATTAAAAAGGTATGAAATTTGTCAAGCTACCTCTTGTAAAATAGCTATTAATGCATCTTACCAGTGAGAAATAATTACTTAAATATTTTGGTACCATATTTTTTTTTAACAATTTTGTAAGTTAGCAACATGTTAATGTAAATGGTTCTTTTTTACACTCTCTACCAGTTAAGGTTTTTAAAATGTGTAGAATTGCGATGTGTTCGTAGATGGACCTTTTAATATAACCCTTATCAATTTATTATGAGCTCTTTATAATTTTTCTCTGAGGTGCTGTGATAATCCAGTGTACCAAGAGATGACAGCGTCATTAAATTGACTTTGAACTAAAGCTCCACCTAATGTGTGAAGAATTGAGTTGTTTATTTATAGGAGCTTTTCTGATCAAACAATTAAGTCTTTGGTTTGTCTTGGCGAAGGCTATTGAAGCCATATTTTCACCTGATAAGGACCTGTCAAAAATGCAGCCAAGATAATTTACAATTTCTTTGGCAGTTCTATGGAACTCTCCAACTTAAATATAAAATCTAGTGACCTTGCTCATTTTATTTTAGAACCAAAAAGACTCAGTTTTTCCCAAGTGTAGGGATAATCAATTATGTGATAGCCATCTACTTACATGTTGAAGTTCCTCACTAAGAATGTTCTTGACAACCGTTTTATGTTTTTGTGCTCTCATTGAAACAGAATCATCAGCATATAAAAAAAGATTGCATGAAGTCATTTATATATAACAGAAAAAATAATGGGCCCAGTATACTACCCTGTGGCACCCCACATCCCATGACTTGACTTTGAAAATGGTCACATTTAAGCCATTTAAGTAAGGTTTGATAGGTAAGAATGGACCCAATTCAGGGTCAACCCACTGAAACCCATGGCTATTAATTTAATTAAAATGCTGTGCTTTACTGTATCAAATACTTTCTGCAAATCCAGCATGACTATACATATGTCCCTCCATCCACCTCTCTTCTAATAGGATCTGTTAAATACAGTGAGCAAGTTTCTGTCAAATTGGTTTTTCCCAAGATAATTGCTGGGAAAGGAGGGTTTTAGCCACCACATCTAACCCATACTCAAAATGTTTATGCCTGATTGGCTTCTATGGCTGTTTTGGGCCTGAGTTGAGTGATTTAGGGTCAGATCTCCCTTTGCAATCATTGCAAGCCCCATTAACAACACAGCTTGTGCAACTGTATGAAAACAATAACCTTAAATTTTCATAAATGAAGAGAACACACCAAACTGCCACAGCTGCCGCCGCCATCTTATGTTATTAGAGTGAACAAACATTTCAATGTTAGACCAAAAAACTCTTTTACTAAACATTCTTCTAAGACCTAGTAAAATAAAAACATCTGTTTGAATTTATGAGAGGAAACTGCATAACTTATGTTCAGTGTCTTTGAGAGGCTTTTATTTCTAATGCAGAACAACGTTTGCCACTGCTTCTGCTTTGTGTCCTCGTGGTGAAAACCACTGTAGGACCATTATGAGGCAAAAAGAAAAGACAAAATATTTTAAGAAACATATTATCAGAATATTGTTTTAATTTGATGAAAAGTCACACTATTACAAGATGAAGCTGCACTTTTACAAAAATGTGTATATATATATATATATATATATATGTATATACTTTATTTTTTACATTTGTAATATTTCTGAAATGATGCCTTCATCCCGCAACATTATGACTTTTTTCTATAATTTTACTTTCAAAATGTCCAAAGTGCACATACAGTATCCGTTGCTCATCCTCATCACAGGTGACAAGGAGATAAATTGGTTCACTCAGACATTTGACATGTTTAATACTGTGTGTACACAAATATGTTTGTATTTTGTTCCATTTGTATTTGACATGTATTTATGTTGTCATCAAATGATGTAATATTTACATTTTTAAAGTTCATTTGTGAATGTCAAACACCTTTTCGTCTTGATGTCTCTGTCAGCATAAACTGTTCTGACGATGGAGGACACATACCATTTATCTTTGTAAGCCCTGTTATTCCATCATAAAGTGGTTCTCAACTAGTGGGTGGTCCCACAATGGACCATCAAATCATATTGTGACAAATTCCCCATATCGTAACATAATGCCTTATGGAAATGTAAATGGTAAACTAAACCAAAATCTGCTGTTACATAATATTTAATACTTCTAACATCTATTTAAGACTTGTAAGTCAGCCAATGGAATGAACATGAGTAAACAGTCAAAACCACCCCTTCACAAAAATCTGTACTGTATTGAATTTGAAAGTCTTCTGGTTTGTACGACTTAAAATCTCAAGATGCCAAATATGGTTTAATGAGCACACTACATCACATATGGCAGACAAAATGTACAATTATGAAAATATTTTTTATTGTAAACAGCCTTTATATCTTTGCAGTTGTTGTGAGGCAAACCTTTGCCTTGGCAGTGTTGTGTGAGAATAACTAACAGGACGGGCGTCTGCTGAGGACAGGTGTGTTGTTTGTATTGTTAAAAGCAGACAGAAACTGGAGGCATGTCTTCAGGAATGGCCTTAGACGATGTTGTCAAAAGTGAAGATAGCTGCTGCAGTGAGAGGCCTCCAGCTGAATCATTTATTCAACACCTTTCATGAACTCCAGAAACTCTGGCAGAGAGAACACACAAAGTCACACAAAGTTAAGCAATAATGTGTAGTGACGATATATGACATATGACTATATAGGTATTGGAAAGGTGGCCATAGTTCACCTAAAACTATTTCTAAACTCAAGTTCCTGTATTTGGAGGAACCCAGACCTACACACAGTTGAAGGTGGCGTTCTTCCATCCATACGGTTATGTCAGAGAGATAGGCCAAGATCCTCGCCATGAGACCATGGGGTCAGCTGGCAGGAACAACAGGTATAATTGTCTCTGCATAGCAGTAATATGAGAAGCTGTGCAAGCAGATAATTGGACCCAAGGAGGTAGTGTATATTGCAAAGAGGAGGTGCCCCAGATTGGATAAGAACATTTGTCCTTTCCGTGACATAATGAAGGAGTGCCCAATGAGATGGGATTCAAACCAAGAAAGCACTTTGCCTGATACACCCCTGTCAAAGAGTACAGACAGCAGGATGCAGCGGTTCACTGTATCAAAGGCTGTTGAGAGGTCCAGCAAGATAAGAGCCGAAGACTGACCTGCAACTCTAGCTGCCCTTAGGGCTTCTGTCACAGACAAGAGGGCAGGTGAATTGCATGATATACAGTCTTTTAACTTGTTGATGTGGTATATTTAAGTGAACTGTATGTAGCTTTGGATATACAGTGGGAAGAAAAAGTAAGTGAACCTTTTGGAATTACCTCCATTTACTTATAAATTTGTCCTAAATTCTGATCAGCTCTTCATCTAAGTTACAATAATGAACAAATACAATCTATTTTAACTAATAACACAAAAATCATTGTATTGTTCTTGTCCATATGGAAAACATCACCCAAACATTCCCAGTGTAACTGGAAATGGTCTATGAACCCATTGACTTGACATGAACAGAAGCTAACTGGAGTCAGGAGTTATCAGACCTGGACTCCAGTCAGTGATTGGAGGTGTGGGTTAGAGAGACTTTGACTTATAAAAAAACTCTAACATTTAGAAAAACATGAGCTGATGTAAACCAGGCCTCACAACAAAGATCTCAGACTGTGGATGAAGAAGAGTTGATGAGCATGAAGCTGAAAAGGTCACAGAGTCATCTCAAAGAGTTTAGATCTTCATCAGTCCACAGTTACACCAACTTTACAACTGTTTGGTTGGTGTCTGTTGTCTACTGTTGTGTTACTAATGTGCTGGCTAACGTACCGTCATAATCAATTTTGCCATCGTTGTTTTTGTCTCCATCCTTCATCAGCTCCTCAATGTCGTCTTCCGTGATTGCCTCTCCAGTGGACTCCAGCATGGCCTTCAGCTCTTCTAAGTCTATGTAGCCATCTCCATTCCTCAACACAAGACAAAGGAATCAAGCTTAGGAACATCTGCTGAGCTGAACACTTTCACCCCTAAAGTGTTCTGACTGAGCTAATACACATCATTTCTTTCTAACATGGTAACAAGGTCTGTTCTAGTGAAGTTCTGGGTACTGCTCAAGGTCACCAAGAGAATTTTATTTGACTTAAGTGATAATACATCCTCTATCAATCTACAGGTAGGAGTCAGCACTGATTTCTCTTATATAAGTGGCATTTCCTTTAAATTTTGTGGAAGCTCAGAAAAACAAAGAGAAACCTACTTGTCAAACATGCGGAAGAGTTCAGCCAGTTCCTCCTCTGATTTTCCTTTGCTCTCCTCCTTCATGCAGCGGACCATCATAACCAAGAACTCATCAAAATCTACTGTGCCACTGCCTGTGGATATGCACCATGATATTATAAAGACTTGGTATCTCCATATCATGTTTGAAGTTATTTAATCTCTTAAAGGTCCCATATTGTATAATGTGAGATTTACATGTCTTTTTTGATTATAAAGCAGGTTGAGGTTCTATATTAATACTGTGAAAGTACCAAAGCACTCACACTCACACACACTGAGCCGTCGGGACTTCTGTAACTTTGTGATGTCACAACAAAGCAGTCACCACTCAGCCATTCCCCAAGCCAAGCCCACCTCGACCCACCATCCAACCTTGCAGGATTTGGTTTCTCTGAGTGTTTACCTGAAATATGCTGTATTTTTATTTGACCACTCAGAAAACAACCAATCAGAGGAGATCTGTTGTTACCAGAGAGCTCCAGAGAGAAGCTGAGAAGCCAGAGAGAGGGGATGTAAAACTACACTGAGATGGTTCTTGGTTCTTAAAACCAAAAAAGCGGATCTACACTTCAAATAAAACACAGGAAAAGTATAAAACATGGGACCTTTAAAATCCAGTTTTCATTTCAATTTACACTCAAGTGTCTTTAGTGTTGTTAAAATCTTTTTATTTTACCCTATGAAACAACCATGCTCCTGATGTCTACAGTGCAGTGATGTGACACAGTAATGCTGACATACCATCCTCATCCACCTCATCAATCATCTCTTGCAACTCTTCAGGGGTGGGATTCTGTCCCAGCATCCTCATCACCTTCCCCAACTCTTTGGTGCTGATGCAGCCATCCTCTGCATCCTGGATGAAGATGTCAAATGCAGCCTTGAACTCTAGAAGTGACACATTAGTTGTTACTGTCTGACAAGGACATAACTGTTTTGTTTGTCATTTTGTCTGTTATTTTAAGACCAACTAGCAAAGACACTTAGGTTGCGGTTGGTGCAAATCACCAAATCTGAAGGGACATATTGATTTGTACATATGGGCGTGGCCTTTTCATCATTATCTGCTATCTTTGCCTTTGCTCATTTTGTTGTGAGCTGGATTGAGCCAGAGACATGAAACTTGGTACCATAACTGGAACTGATGTTCTAATACTTGCCATGAAATATTATTACAATTGGTCAGATGGTGGCGCTAAAGTGAACAATGAAAAAACATCCACACCTTGAGTCCTAGATCTACGACTCAATATATTTTATTTAAAAAAAAAAGCCTCTTGGACCAGTACGAAAATGCAGATGTGCTAGTTTATTTTACTGTCACACTCTGTCACTCATCAGCTCTCTCTCACAACTGCACAGTGTTTCAGTCTTTTCAGACTAGATATTTTTAACATCAATGAACATGACAGGAAACGTCTGCCCCTCCTCCTAATATTAATCCTAGTGTCACTCAGTGTTGCTGAGCGGAGACCTTTTATGACCCAGGAACCAAATTTAGTCCCTGGTTCCTTCAGTTGAAATCAAGTATAGTTCCTGTGTTCCTGAAAAGGTTCCTGGAACAGGGTTTTTTGGAAATGTTCCAGTAGAGCTACAGCATGCCGATAAAATAAATCAGCAGTATAGAAGAAAGTTCAGAGACTTCATAGATGTATGTGAAAGATCTCTAAGTGATCTTTTAATGATGAGAGCACATTGACAGCCTTCATCATATCCATTAAATATATTTGCTTGTACTCAGTCATATATAAAGGACAGTGTAGGTGTATATTTGGTAGTTTTTATGTTTTTCATTGCTTCTGTAGAGACAAGCCATTAGAGGCAATAACACTTAAATGAAACTTCTCCTTTACATATTATTGCTAGTATTATAACAGCAGATGTTGTACTTTTAGGTACAAACTCTTGGTAGTAATAAAAACGTTAAGTAGTTTTCTCACCATTTTTCTGTTCCTCTGTCAAGTTTTCAACCTGAAAGGAAATAAAATCAGATGAACATTGTACATGTCACAATGTTTTTCACAGTAGCTTCTTTTTACCTCTCTACAGTCAGAGCTCAGCAACTATACTGATCACCTCATGTCAGTGTCGCTCTCAGTGTAGCTGGACTGCAATGTCACACTTCCAGGGGTGGGTGTCTGGTGTCACCCATTTGTTTTAATAGCCATCAGCTGTCCCTTCTCTTTCCCCCCCTGAACTGTCCAGCTGTTCTTTGTTCAATTGTCAGAGACAGAAATATGAACTCACCACAGCAGCCTTTCACTCTGAGCTCTGTCTCTTCTTATCACACCTATTGTTTCATTATTACACAAGTTGAAGTGACACACAGGAATTTGTGTGTTTGTGCTTTCAAAAACACTAATCTTTTTTTTTTTTTTCCAAAAATCAACATTGAGAAAGCGGTCATCACAAGAGTCTTTTTTTGCTGAAATTAATTTAAGTATAATTATTCTATCTTCATATGAAAAAAAACACCATGTATATGTTTTAATGTAGAATGTAACTCCTCAGGTTGTTAAAGCTCACTTCCTCAAGGACATGACCCCATCGTCCTCAATAAATAGTCTTTTATTATAGTGTGTGGGAATTATTGTTAACAGATGTAACAATGGCCTCTAAACTTTAAATTCATGCATGAGAGACCCCCAATATCATTTCATGCAACAGAGTGTGTTTTTTGTATGTTTTTGCCATGTGGTTGTTGTCATTGCTGACGCTCAACATACAAGGATCAAATCTATCCCAGGATTTTCTGATTCTCACCAGATAGAGAAATAAAATAGCACATCATACTTGGCACACTCTGTACTCACCGCTGCCTTATATACATCATCCATAGCTGCTGCTCCGTCCCTGCCTCTGACACACCACTGAACGCACTGCTGCACAAAGATACAATGCAAACACAGGCGGCAACTGCCTCAGTCTTTATTGTTGGGTGAGCGTGGCACTAAAAAAGCTCTTGACTCACCCACCCAAAATCTAAGGGTGATGTAGGGAGGAGTGACAGAGACAGAGAGATAAAGAGAGAGAGAGACAGATCTATAAATAGGAAACAACAGAAGCCCCCCAACAATAGTGGGACATCGAAAGCAGCACCTATGTTCACCTTTGTTGAGCTCAGGCTGTTCTTGGACATGACTTCTTTACTGATTTTACTGGTTTTGTCATTTTTACATAAGTCTTTTATTCTCAGACTTCACCTCTACAAAGTGTGAACTTGGTATTTACATGGGCTATTTGGTTAAATTGAGACCAGAATATAACTTTGTGACATCTCTTCTACTGAATAGAGAGTAATTGCTCTAAAAACGTGCAGCTTCCTAGACAACAATGTGCAAAGCTTACACTAATACCCTTTTTACACCAAAATTAGCAGGTATAAGTGGGCTTATTAAACACCTGCCAAAAAAGGTGATTAACACCTTTTACACTGCCAGAAAAGTAGCGTGTTCACCCGGGTGTTACTGATCGGAGCCAGAGCAGATAAATACATCTACTATAGTCATTTGACCCAAGAGAAAATGCCGATTGTACCCCTCTCCATTGCCAACAAAAGCCCGATGTTACTGGGTCTTAGCAGAGTTTTTGACTGGTGGAAAAGGGTTATAAGTTGGCACCCACCTAGTGTTCCTATCAAATAAATAAAGTATGACATATGATTTCCCCCTGACTCAAATCTCAGATTGCCAATAACATCTGAAGTGGAGGAATTCAAAGCTACCAAAGCCAGAGCATTGAGGACATTTCAGATATCGAATGACCACAAAGTCTCCCACACATGTAAGAACATCTGCTGTGGGAGGAAATGGGAGCCTCAATAGTCAGGCAGTCAAGCAAGCTGAAGCCTATTGGAAAGACCAATAGGCTGTATGCAAAGGGCACTTGGGGTCTGGTCATTATCATGGCAAGTCCTGGCAAGAGCAAGACCAACACTGAAGGGAAAAGGGCCTTGTGATCCAGAGGGTCAGGGATGTTGCAGAGGAAGACTGTCTAATCTAAGCAGTTGGCCTTTCCCAGCAGTGCCAGTGGACCCATTGAGAGCAGGCACTTTAGGGGCCACTATCCTGGAGAGATCTGGGGGTACTGGAGGCAATCGATCGACCCCGTCTTCTAAAAATTATGTGCCAACTGAATTGCAACGACTGGTATATAGTATGTAGTAAACCCAATTGTGATCTAAGAACATACATATTTTTATAGCGTCAAATCATAATTATCTCAAGGCACTTTACAGGGTAAGGTCAAGACCTTACAATAGTTCCCAAAATAAGCAGAACCTGGCGACAGTGAGGAGGGAAAACTCCCTTTTAACAGGAAGAAACCTCCAACAGAACCAGACTCAGGGTGAGCGGCAGTCTGCATCGTTATTCCCACAATGGTGATATATTGTTAATTAAGGTATTTGCCAATTCACATATACGTTGATGCCAAGCAGCAACCTCCAGACAAAGCCAACATGGAAATACCGAAAACTTTCTTCCGCCAAAATATCCAATCTTGCAAAACAATATCCACTTTTAGTGATTGCGGCCTTAATAAACTTTTTAATGGTTATGTTTAGGCACTTACAGGTTAGGGAAAGATGTGCTTTGGTTTATTACAGAAAAAAGTTAACAGTGACTTCAGACACATCATGTTTACTTAAATTCAACCAAAACCATCATCTTTCCCCAACCTAACTCGCCTAACCCTAACCACAGACAGGTAGAGACTAGTATCAGCCCATATCTATTTCACAGTCAGGCTAAACTGAGCTCACAGGCAACACGAAGAATCTTTTGGAAAGCCCTGCCAACAATTGGGATGGCACACAGAGAATGCTTGTGAGGTTACTCATATCTATTTCACCACAAACACATAAGCTCCCCAAATTGGAACATTTTGAAGGGCAGCAACTCTGGTCAGATTGAAGGAAATTAAATGTTAAGTTTTCATAACTACAAATAATCTTCCTTATGTACTATGCCCTATGTATGGAGTAGAGTCAGCTGTCTACATGACAATAGATACACAGATAGGGCTATTTTGAACGTTTGTCCTTGACTAGAAATAGTAGACCTCTACCGGTGGGGAGTGAGAGAGGGACTACGGTGATAAATCTCAGTTGTAAGGTTAACATTACGTGGGACAAATAGGTAGCACCTGCCAATGTGCAGCAGCTGTACATTAAGCTCAGATGTCAGCTTATTCAAACCGCCTTCTATTTGGGCAACTGTACTTATTACACCTGGAAAAACCCAACTTTTATGTTTGCAGTAGAAAACGCCTCATTCACAACACACAGTGCCATGATGCAACTGTATTTCAATAATCTAAAATTTTATATCAAATAAATACTGTATATCTCTATGTATACACCTTCAGTGGCTCCAGAGCTGTAGCTGTAAAACAGCACCAGTATTGACATTTGATTTGATGTGTATGTGTCTGTGGGGAATAGGGGTGGGGGGAACTGGAACCAATCCCAGCTGACAAAAGGCAGGGTACAACTTACACAGGCTGCCAGTCGGTCTCAGGGCTGAAATATAGAGACAAACAACTATTCATGTTCAATTTCATACCTGTGAGCAATTTAGAGTCGCCTGTTAACCTGCATCTCTTTGGGCTCTGGGAACCCAGGGTACCCACACATGCACAAGGGGCCCCCGGTGTAGTACAAAGTTAAAAGATTGTAAAAGATCTAAAAAGTCCCCAGTTAAAACACGGAATGTTAAAATCTCCAAGAATGATAACAGTCATATTTTAACATGGTCAATGACAACATTTCAGAAAACTGAAAAAAGGTATTTAAAGGAGAATTCCCCACAAGGTACTGTACTGTTTATAAAGTATCCCTATAAATTATAGCTACCCCACCGCTGCAACCAGAGAGCCTAGGAGTGCGTAAGTACAGTAAGCACAGACTAATTTCTGGGACCTCTCTATTTACATGTCAGTGACAGGGGTTCACTTTATGGCCAGATCCCACCCACTCCACACGGAACTCAAGTCTCTGTGATGGCCAGTCAATGTATTCAACTCTGACCCACCTGGGTCCCCTAATTGTTAATCATGTATAAATGACTGTTCACTTAAAGACAAATAATTTAGTATTCATTTAAAACTAGCTTGATAATAATTGTTTTGGGCTAACTTACAAGTATCATTTACTAATTATTTGTTCTTTCTTTGAATAACTTAACAAGTGTTTCATAATTTATCAACTAACTACTTATTAATCACTTACTAATGACTAATCACTGATTTGTTTTTGTTGATTTGTTAAATGATTTACTAAAAGTTTATTGATAATTTACAACACGTTTATAACATATTCACATGGGACTTAGGGTACTAATCATCTACAAATGTATATCAATGTTTCGGGAATGATTGGTTCATCAATAACTAAGGGCTTATAAATTGCGTATGACTGAACGTTTTGTAAAGTGTTTCCCCATGCTTCCACTCTTGTATATGATTTGGCTATTTGCTGTATATATGGATTAAGAACGCGGTTCATTGGTTTTATGGGTTCACTCTCGTATAAGATTTTGTCCGTATGAGCCACCGTACTGAGCCTTCCTTTTCTGCAAGAAGTGACTTGATTAACCCGGAACTGAACTCCACTGTAACCTGGAAGTTCTTTCATTTTAGCTGAAGAACGAGAATTGTCTGCTTGTTTTTCCCATGGTGACTGTCTGTGGACTACAACAACTAAACAAACTCTTTTTTCTGACCTGAAGCCGTGCCGCCCATCAAGACACTGGAGGCACGCGCTGAACGTTGTAGTCGATTAAAACAATTAAACGTATCCTTGTTTTCTGTCCTGCTCCATTAGACACTGGGGAGGTAACTTAGCGTTAGCGGCCTACCGAACTTTGTTAGTGACGGGCTCGTCAGGAATATCCAAAAGGCAGAAGGTAATGTAAAGTTCTCATGAGATTATGGCATGTGTCTTGCTTTGACTGTCTGCTTTACTTGCTACTTTATGTACGTTAATTTGGATACCGTTAACGTGGACTGAAGCTAACGACGAGCAGTCACAACAAACCAAGACGCAGATCATGGTGATATGTGTGTTATTGTGCGCAGATTTACGGGACCGTAGTAAATTATTGGTTATTAAGTCGAAAATAACATAACACGGACCCTAGTCTAGTTACTCGTCATGTCGTGTAGCGACCAAGCTTCTAAATCACCCTGCATCTGTTTTTCATTTCCAGATAACTATCGTTAGCTTTCTAGCTAACATCCGTTAGGTACCTAGCTAGTTGCTAGCTTGTCATCTGTCATGCTTAACATCTGGATATTATAGAGTGTGTATTTGTTTGTTTATTTGGTCTATAGTAGAAACTGTCTTCCGTGACTTATTTAACTGGCAAAAGCGTTATTCCGAAAATTCGGCTCTTGTGTTTACATAGACTCTGCTTTAGTTTGCTAAACTAGCCTTAGCTAGCGTTATAATTAAGTGTTGTCCAAACGGCCTCATGATGATAGCAGTGAGTCACAATAGTAATTCCCTGTGTTTACAACTGTATTTTTTCACCGTGTCCGCTTAATGAACAATAGATTTAACATTTCTAAAGTCCGCTAAGCATTTCTTTCATGCCCTTTGATTCTTTTTGCTCTTCCGTAACAACATGTATATCCCCGATTTGGTGTCAATCTCATTCTCAGCTTTTATTTTTATTTTATTTTTTTTATCGTTGCCTTTCTCAGACATTTGTGTTTGATTGACAGGGCTCCCTTCCGTTCAAGAGTCCCAATAAGCAATGACAGTGTGACAGTGAGCCAGCACCCACAATACCAGGACTCTGAAATTGAACCAACTACATGGATTTTAATAATTGTATTATTTGCAGCTGTGCTTATCCAGACACAAGTCAGAATGCTTACTGAGATAAGAGGCCATTGTCTGACTTACACACATACCAACTCACATTGGACCTCCCATTTCGTGTCATAGATTTTCTTTAAAAAAAATCATGTGAAAACTTATGTTCAATTCATGGGACCTTGCAAAAATCCTACAGCTCTACTCCAAATACTTTCTTAGTTGGTATTTTTGAAGTTTGGCCCTTTGAGATTATGTTCCTTTATATGTGTTCAAATCCTCACCATTTGCTTATTTTTCACCGGATTGGGTTGAAATTTGTACTGATGAACATCCAAGAAACCCAGAGGAACTATTTAAGTTGAGAAGTGGAAGCTGTATTTTCCGAAAAAGTACTTCTGGTGATGCAAAGCTGTCAAATCAGAACATCCATTTCTCAACTTCAGTAATTCCAAGTCTGTTCGCAACTCAGCCAAAGTTTAAAGGTCAGCTTTTCCATTTTGTTTTCTTGTGATAGTTGGATAGCTTCTTCAAGGCTTTTCCAATAGATAATAACGTATCTATTGGAATAACCTCTAAATGTGATAGAACTATATTATTACTACACAGTATCAAAATTTGGTTGAAAACTTTCACCATGCTGGTCACTTACAAACTGTTCACTTACCTGAGGCTAGAAGTCACAAGACTGATTCCCCCTGCAGTTTTACTGTAAGTTAAATATTTGACACTGCAGTGGATTTGAAAGAAAGTTATTGTTATAGAGGCATAATGTTCTGCCATATGAGTTAAATTTCATACTTAATTGACAAATTGAAAGTTTTTCATCACATTTATGCAAAAATCTCACATTTCCATGAAACAGTCAAGTTCATTAATTTGCAACATTACCCACAATGTCCTAATACACCCAGAAATATGACAGGTATGTACACATAACTAAACATACACAGATACTCTAAAAGATCTGGTAATAGTCTGCCAGTTGACAAATTGTCATGGTATATATTATGATATCGCCCAGTGCTGGTCCAAACATTTGCCTGCTTCAACAAATACATGGCATTTGCTGTGTTATGTTGAGCTTTGGTTTGTTTCTCTGAATGTTACATTTCATGATGGTATAATTATGATTTCTGACATTAGGAAGTTTGTCTTCATTGTAATAAACTGTGATGGCCACTAATGGTAAACTCAGTCTGAAATGATTGTACATTTATATGTGATCCTCCACTCTCCATACTTAGCTCATCAGTTGGAGCAGAGACATCAGGAGTTGCAGGGATTCAAGCATCCCTTATCATCATCGGGTCCTGAGATGACATCACAGCAACCTCAGCTCCCCAATGCTGTTATTCCTCCCCAGCTTGCACAGAACTCTTCTGCTCAGCAGGCGCGGCCTCACATTCAGGCTAATCAGCTGCACACGAGTCAGAGCAGTGCAACTGCTGGGCCTCTGGAACACAGAGCATTGACAGGCAGGCCAGGCTGCTCCGGTGTGTCAGCAGCCAGCGGGGAGGTGGCCAACAGGAACGTTTCTGCCTCCTGCACCAACTCCAGCTTATCCAGAAGAGATGGGGGTTTTGAACCGTGGCCCGAGGAAGCAGTGGACAACTCACATGGGCTATACTCACTCCACCGCATGTTTGACATAGTTGGAGCCCAGCTAACACATCGGGACGTCAGGGTACTGTCATTCCTATTTGTTGATGTGATTGACGAGTATGAGCGTGGTGGCATCAGGAGTGGAAGGGATTTCCTGCTGGCCCTAGAGCGCCAGGGTCGCTGTGATGAAACCAACTTCCGGCACGTTCTCCAGCTTCTAAGGATTATCACCCGCCACGACCTTTTGCCTTACGTCACACTCAGGAAACGACAGGCCGGTGAGTAATGCAGTGTCGTCATTATGCCCACACCAGGCCTTAAATACATGTTCAAGAATTGATGGTTGGGTTTATATGTCTTAATGTTACTAATGTACAGTCTGATTTTTTTTAGATTGTTTTGCAGCATATGAGTTGGAACAACTTCCTTGGCATGCTCCTTAATGAGCCTTGAGGCCAGAGCTGGCTCCAAGTGGTTACATTCAATTAAGGTCCAGAATGAGCACCATTCATGCCAACCACATTTTCAGATGGCAGTGTATGGTAAAAAGTTCAGCCACCCAGAATATACACATACCCACAGTGAACATAAAATCACTTGTAATATAGGGCTGTCCAGAAATCAGGATTTTCAGTTGACTCAGAGTTAGCACTTCTAACGGATTTATCAAAACAGAGGGGTGAGGACAGGTTGTGTTTGTTGTATGAATTTTTCATGTGCTTGTGGTATTGGCTCAAGCTTTTTCTTAAATATTTTTTGCTCTATATAGACAATTTTTATTCAATAAATGTGACCTACAAATATGACAAATGACATTATTTTAATTATTTACTCTACTGTCCAGTCTGTGTCAGGTCAATTGCCCCGAACATAACTCTGTCAGCCTCCGTGAGTTTCATGTTTTACCTATAAGTCTTTGTTCGTCGTCAGAAAATAAATTTGTGCATCCTGCCCTGGATGTCCTGTACTGGATATCCACACTGATCTCCCTGTTCAATTTAATTTTGGATGGCAAAGTCCAGAATCTGTTCATTTTGATTCTATTCAATTAGATTTGATTCTTGATGATTAGATTAGATACATCAAGTAAGAGAGGGTGTGCAAGGCTCAGCCAGGAGTTTTATAATCCTGATAAGTTTTTATTGTTACTGTCAATCTCAGCAACAGAGAATAGTGATGCCTTCTGATACATGAAGTATGGTAACTGGACTTTATAGGTTATCCCTTTGTCCTATGCAATTCTTGTTGTTTGTGTGGCCATAGCTTGACATTCTACTTCTTCCTCTAGCCAGTTAGAGAAGCCAAACAGGTTATGGGGAATGGTTTTATAGCTTGGGTAAATCTAGTTCATGCTCAACATGCTCAGTAGAGTGTTTTTCCACCTTTAGAGGGTGACACACATCGTCCCAATCCCATGACAGAATAAAAAAAAACCCTGTCCTGTCCCATTTTGTTTGCATGTTCTGTGTTTTTTTTTTTTTTTACTTGTGGTGGGTGGTGCGGTGTGTGATGTGCATGCAGAGACTCATGCAGTTTAAAGGGGGAGAGTGTAACCCAGGTTGTTTTCTGTAGCTACAGTTTATAGATTTATAGATATATACCCTCAACGCCTCACATGCAGGCTATCTGTAGATGCTAGCTGGTGGCTAGAAACCTCTAGTTTCTCCTCAGTTACTGCAGCACAGCAGCTCTGACAGATGTAGGCCAAAAATTATTTTGAAAAGAGTGAAATAAGGTGTTCCAATGTAAGATTTATTGGCTCTCCAATGAGCAGCCTCTCTGAATTTTGGTGGCTGCAGCATGCTGATGGGTTTTATGGGTCAGGGCTGGGGTCCAGTGGAGTACATCAATAACTAGCAAGCCTGTTAGAGGGTGGAGCATGTATGAATGAAATGTACTGGATACTGGATGCAATTCCAGTTCTCAGATATGTGCATGGCCCTCTAACTGCAGGCCCAGCTGGCCCTCTTTTTGGTATATGTTGCTGAGTTCCAAAGGGACAAGCGCAGTGTCTCCGCAGGGGCTTTATAAGGGACTGCAGTGTGCAATCACAACCCCCTGTTGGCAGTGAGTGCAAAGATCCATCTCAGGGTGAGGCAGAGCCTCAAAGGGGTTAACCAGGAGTGAAGCACATTAGAGCTGTGCACATAGTCATAGAACTGGAGTTACATCTAGTAACTACTACTTCTACTCCTCCGGGGTTAGGATCTTCTTCTATATGTTAACATAGTAAACATGTTGGTATTGCATTTGAGTGAGGTGATTACTCATGTATCAACCCTGGCAGTCCACAAAAAACTGACAGTTTAGACATTGTCTCTGCAATCTGTGAGATGTATCCACTGATATGAAAATGATTAGCATTGCGATTAAAAATAACATCAGAAATCAACTGTTGTTTTCAGTGTGCCCAGACCCTGTTGACAAGTACTTGGAAGAGACATCAGTGCGCTACATTTCACCAAGAGGAACAGTGCAGAGCAAGGACAATGCACCTCACAGAAGAACAGGTTGGTGATTGTCTGTGTGTTCAAGGTATTTTTTAACACCACGACACAGAAGTTTGATTAATGTCTTAACTAATGTCACTGTTTAGGTCCTCAGCCAGTCATTTGCTGTTCCCCGTCGGGACCTCATGTTGGCCCTCCCCGAACAAAGCCAGCTCCTCCTGTTCCGAACCGCAAACGGAAGAGAAGTCATTCCTCAGCTGACTGCAGAGAGAAACAAACATGTGGTAAAAGAAGCATGGCATAGAGAGGGAGCAGTGTTTTTGTCTAGTCTCAAAGAGTAGGATAACAGAAAAAAAAATTGTGCAGTCCAGTGACATTCATTTGTTATGTTTTCCTAGGTTGTTCCTGGTTTGAGAACGATCCAGGAACAACCTAAGAACACACTTACATACTGTTAAGTAAGTGAGACACATGCTTGTGTTTACATGCCTTAAGCCTTTTTCCAGGTAAGCTGACTTTCTAAACAGCATTTTATTGAGAAATCCAGTTTTAGTAATCAAGGTAAGGAAATAACCTGATTTCCCCAGATAGATTTCTCCTAGAGAAATCTGATTTCTCTGCAAAGTATACATGAAACAAAGTCCAAGCAGGACAAGGACTTCAGACAGAGAGAGCTTCTCTAAGTAAATTGGTTACTTAAATGAACCAACTGAGCGATCGTGACCATTTAAGTTACTGTACTGCACTACCTAGAGTTTCAGACTAGATTTGTTGGCAAGTGTAATGGTGTTCAAGCAACCTGACCCAATTCAGAACTGGAGCTTCACCAACCCAAGGCACCTGAAAAACCAAGACCATTGACCAGTAATGCAGGTGGTTTACTATACTGGATGCTTGTATGCTTGGCCAGGCTCAGACATCATTTGTCAGTGCATAGTGCCAGGATGTGATCCACTCCCCTACAGCACCAACAGTGTGTAACACTAGCTAACATTAGCTTACCAATGGAGTTCGCTAAAATGAACAAAAAACTGTCTCCCAGCACAATCCAACACAAACTCCATGTAAGCACAGTGACAGATATTGGTAAAGGACTAGACCTAGCTAACAAGTTGATAACAATATTATCTATTAACTATAGTCTCGCAAAACCAGACCTCACTCTCACCTACATATGGAGTGTGAGCACAGTACATGAGCAATAGGATGCTGACTGCAGTTCACTTAATGGTCACCATTGTCATTAATAACAATGGTTTTACCGTCACAGTCATTGCCAGGTGTGAAAGTTTCTCTTAAGCTCTCATTTTATTATTTAGTGAACTTTTTAAGTCACTCTAAGCAACTTAAGTCACTGCAGTAACATTATTAATCCTCAAGGATATCTGAAAGTGTGTGCTACTCTACCGATTTGTATGATTCATTGCAACTTACCCCTCCATCTAATGGCATGCACTTTGCCTTTGAGTGTAACCATTGTTGTTTGCATGTCAGATAGTAGAAACTAGTTCATCTTAAGCATATCCTGGCTTTGAGTTTTCAGGTTTGTACTGATGCCAGGTAGTTGTCTAAGATCATGTTGGCTGTCAGCCATTACTCAGCTTTGGTGGAGGTGTTCACATTTCAAATGTAAACTGTTAGTGTTGTTTGTTTTAATTTTTTCCAGCCCTAATATTCACTCTCAGTTGACCCTTGTTGTTCTCTCCTCGCAGATATCCGCCTCCGGGTTCGTGCTGAATACTGCCAACATGAGTCTGCACTTCAGGGCAATGTATTCTCCAACAAACAAGAGGCAGTGGAACGACAGTTCGAGCGCTTCAACCAGGCCAACACTATCCTCAAATCCCGAGACTTGGGCTCCATCATCTGTGACATCAAGTTCTCAGAGCTCACCTACTTGGATGCCTTCTGGAGGGACTACATCAATGGATCATTGCTAGAGGCCCTAAAAGGGGTCTTTATCACAGATTCCCTAAAACAGGCTGTGGGCCACGAGGCCATAAAACTGTTGGTCAACGTTGACGAGGAGGACTACCAGGCTGGGCGACGCAAACTGCTCTGTAATTTGGTCACAGGTGGCGGGAGCCCACCAGGAGGTAGCAAAGACTCTGTATCTTAGACACATTCTCAAGGTGGTAGCATACGGGAGAAACGTTGCTGTGCCTCCCCCACAGAGTGAGATGTGGTTGTGTCATTTGAGGTGCCTGAAGTATGTGTCTGAGGGAACTAAGGACTTCCAGCCACCCCACCGATTCCTTGAGAGAGAGAGCTAAGTTCATAGGATATCTACTTGGCACCCCTAAGCGTAGCATGCAAAGTGATTGGGAACTATGTTAGCAAAAAGAAGTAGGTGATGCATACAGGTTGGCATTATTTTTGAATCCTAAGCTGTTCATTTTCTTCAAGGAGGAGAACGCTGATCTCGTATGTGCATTGACTCTAACTAATTTCTTGTTTCTGGTGTGTTAGCTCATTGAAACATTTGTTAACTCTTATACTCTTCACTCCTGTTCAAAAGTGGAGTTATTTTCAATACAGGAAACATGCTTAACGCTGATGAGTTACTCCCAGTGGGAGTTGTACCTTATTGTCAAACTGATTCATCTTTTTTCCAGGTTTTTTGGTGTACATTACAGATTGATTGGATTAACCCAACGAGAGAGTGTTCTGTATGTTACTGAGTCATTCACTGATGTTTTGGATTTGTAAATCAGTGCCAGTTTCATTGTCAGCCTGTACCGTTGGACCTCTGCTCACTTACCCTCTCACTCATGCTCAGTTGTGATATAACTTTATTTTCAATTTGAAATGTCATTTAATAACAAATCAGCAGCAAGTGAAAATCATAGCCAATATGTGTAAAGTCATTTCAGATGTGCAGATAGTAGGATACCTGCAGTTTGAGGTGAGCTTTGTACTTTGTCCTGTCTTTGTAGAGTTAAAGATATTTCACCCAGTTACAGTTGAACTCACATTTTAAGTCCTCAGCAGTCTTCTCTGTGGATATATAATGTCTTCTGGTGGGTCAGGATGTAATTGAGTCCACATGCACAGGTGTTGAAATCACCTCACCCAGTAGCTCGAGGGCCTGTTGGACATGTTGGAGAAATGAAAGGTGTCTTCAGTGGCACCCCTCTCCGTCAGGAGGTGTGGCATCTCCACAGGCAGCTGCAAACTGAACTGGGGGATTTTTTTTATTAAAGATTTGAAACAACAGAGGACCAACATAATAGTAAGATTTATTGCATGTTGATCCTCAACAATTTAGTGCGTAGATCTTGAACAATGATATTCTTCTAGTGGCACACCACTTTTATAGTGCAGCCTGAAATGCCAATTAACCAAAATGGGAATTTATATTAATTTCTCTTTGGTGTCCATGGAATGAAGTGGATCAACAGGAGAAATTAGGTTTGGTGGGTCCCTGCGACAAGTACGTGTTGACAGTATTACTGATTTATAGCTTTCATTTCATGCAGTCATAAAATACACTCGGTGGTCACTTCATTAACCTCATTAGGCACACTTATTTAGTTCTAGCAAGGAACCCAGAACAGCCCAAAAGCCCAAAACAAGGTGTTGGAGACTAGAGACACTGGTTCATGTTGACATGATAGCCTCACACTAGCTGTAGATTTTGTGGCTGCTCAATCATGCTACAAATCTCCTATCCCCCCTGAAATTACAGGAGCTGTACTCTCAATTAAACTCTGTCAGTATTGGACAATCCTGCAAAATCCTGATCCTGCGGACATTGACAACATCCTTCAAATTCTTGCTTTCCACAATATCTGAGCATGGCAATTACTGTATGGTTATGGTTCAAGAAATAGTTCCTCAATTGGCGATGAACATTTGCTTTCAATGTAAATTGTGACACAATTGTGGACACATTCATAGAAATACTGGGCTGGAGTGGATGCTGCTATCATGGCGGCGCTATAGTCATGAATTTTCAAATTTCCCAGATGTGGTTTTAATGAAATGTGATTACTGGTTGTCCAGAACTGGTTATAACTGAAAGCAAACTTAAAGTACCTTTGTTCGAAAATGTTTAATATCAGTGATAAATATCAAAGATGAAGTATTAGCATAATGCTATTTTATGATGAGATTATTATGATTTTGTTACAAAAGTAGATTAGAGAGTGAATGTCATTTTAATAAGAATTGCCATTTGAAATGCCTCTGATCCTAATATTTGACATGTTTCTGTTACTCAGTGCAAACAGCCAAAAAAAGACACGCAGGCTCATATTCAATAGCAACAAATGTGTACTTTGTCAGCAAAATATGATTTTGACACAATTCTTCACTGTCCATAACTTTACATTTCTGACATCCTTGATATCTTACTAGCTTCATTACAAATGTGCATCTGTCTTTTTGCCAAATCTTTGTAATCCGACTTTGTCTCTGATTTTAAAATGTAATTGAACTTTTTTGTCCAGTTTTTCATCAGTTTGTTAACTGGTGGACTGCTTTCATGTTCCCTATTAAAAGTTCAGTGTATGTATTTACCAAATATATAAAGAAGCCCTATCTTATATTTGCTGTCATACCATCCATGGGTACATATGAGAACATGCAAGTCATGATTGACTGGCCACTATTACTCTGAGTTATACAGAGTAGGCCTTCATTTTATATTTTTACCCCAGTGGAATTTCATAAGGTTGCAAGTTAGTATCTATTATATAGGTTGGTGTCTGTTATGTTGATTGTATGTTATGTTAGTTGTTAAATGCAGCTGTGTTTTAAGCAAATTTGCATGTAACCCGTTATGATCTCCAGAAGTCTCATAGAAACTCACAGTGCTAACATTTTGTAAATAACTTTATTCGATGTCTGATTTTCTTACTTTAATTTTGCATTTCTTTCAGAAAATCAGTAAGTACGACTGTTAATAAATGAAATGGATGGGTTTTGTTCAAGTCCCACTCCTGATTATTTTTTTTATGTCACATTACTCATATAAAAACAAATCTTTTTGGTGGGAAACAGTGTACATTTAAACAAACAGCTTCCTGACAGATCTACTTCTTATTGTGGGTTACACCCCCACATTTCAGAAATTTGGCCTGAACCTTATCCTGCTGTGACACGCAAACCCTGTGTCTGTTCTCATCTTGGAAAACATTTCTAACTGTGTGAGAGGTCCTGGGTGCATCTAATTTCTCTTCTACATGTATCCTCATTCCCTGTACTTCCTTCCTTCTCCACAGGTCGTCAGATTCACAACCTGAGGAAGACATACAAGGAAGGAAAAATCCAGGCGTCACATTCTGTCTGACAAACGAGGCAAACCAAGTTTATTTGTGCCATGAATGTTCTTGCAGAGACTTGAATGTAATGTATGTCAGTGTGAACCATACTCCTTGCTTTCATCACATACGCTAAATGAAATGACAAAAGATTTGGTGGTTAGTCCTGTTGACTTGTTTACCAATAAAAGTGAACTTTGACGTGTTTCTATTTGCCATGGGTACTCTGCAGTCAGTTAATTTATTGATGATTAAACTGAGCTTTGACTAACCACTGCTACAGCAGGTCTGCTGTCAGTCAGTATGATCCAACTTTGTACAAAATAGATTAAACAAATTTATGAAAATATGCTGACGAGTGCTGTGATCTTGTTGACCTTGGTGGTGTTTTCACACGTAGTTTTGTTTACTACAATTGTTGATTTACTCATTAATCCGAGCTTAGTTACTGCTGCAGCAAATGTATCTGCAGGGCAGTCACCGTAATTCAACCTTGATCAAGACACATTCATTTACATTTACATCACATAACTGATTTAACATCCAAAGCGACATAGAAGGAAAGGGACGGATATGATAGTAAGAATTCATATTATTGTAAATAATAATAAAAGTATTAGTATAATAAAGCATAAAAATGTCAAAAAGCGTCGAGATAGAGTAAAGCATAGGAACGTGAAGTACAGTAATGCACAGAAACATCAAGAGAAGATATGGTATACTAAGGCATAAGAATGTAAAAAGAGTGATTCTATATTAACGCATAAAAACGTCATAGTATATTAAGGCATAAAAATCCATGAAAACGTCATAGTATAGTAAGGCATAAAAAGCCACAAAAAGTCATAATATAGTAAGGCATAAAAAGTGATAAAAACGACATAGTATAGTATGGCATAAAAAGTCATGAAAACGTCATAGCATAGTAAGTCATAAAAAGTCATAAAAGGACATGATATAGTGGGGAATAAAAACGCCATAGTATAGTAAGGCATAAAAAGTCCTAAAAACGTCATGATATAGTAAGGGATAAAAAGTCATAAAAACGACATAGTATACTAAGGTATAAAAAGTCAGAAAAACGACATAGTATACTAAGGTATAAAAAGTCAGAAAAACGACATAGTATACTAAGGTATAAAAAGTCATAGTATAGTAAGGCATAAAAAGTCCTAAAAACGTCATAGTATAGTAAGGCATAAAAAGTCATAGTATAGTAAGACATAAAAAGTCATAAAAACGTCATAGTATAGTAAGGCATAAAAAGTCATAAAAACGTCATAGTATAGTAAGGCATAAAAAGTCATAGTATAGTAAGACATAAAAAGTCCTAAAAACGTCATAGTATAGTAAGGCAGAAAAAGTCCTAAAAACGACATAGTATAGTAAGGCATAAAAAGTCATAGTATAGTAAGGCATAAAAAGTCATAAAAACGTCATAGTATAGTAAGGCATAAAAAGTCATAGTATAGTAAGGTATAAAAAGTCCTAAAAACGACATAGTATACTAAGGCATAAAAAGTCCTAAAAACGACATAGTATAGTAAGGCATAAAAAGTCAGAAAAATGATATAGTAAAGTAAGGCATAAAAACAACATAGTAAATT